TCTGAAGAAATAAGAAAAAACAAGGCCGTTCAAAATAAAAATTGTATCAATCTATACAATATATATATATATATATACACACTATTACCAAAAACAATTAACATAACACAATCTGTTTTGTAATTTTTGTAAAAAAAAATTTCTTACATAATAATTCCTGGGAAATTATTTAAAAGACAAGTGAAATAGGGGAAATAATCACTCTCCTAATATAAATATGTATATATCTACACATTTAATTATAAATGTCAAAACAAATAAATAATTTCTTTAGAATATAATGAAATTGTTTAACACTATTCGTGTTTACAAAATGTTTTTGTCTATAATCAGAATTTAATATATCGTCATCATCATAAATGCTAAGGTATTACAGCATAATGAAAGTTTTTAAAAATTAGTTGGTATAAAAGCACAGCTTTTCGATAGAATAGCACAACATTCGCAATAACGAATATTTAACTAAATATCGGTCTTAGTTAAGATCATATATTTTAATTAACTACTGCTTCTTTGTGTTCTTTAAAGATTATTTTTTAACATAGTGATAGGTATGGGGTTAGACTCACTGTATTGATCACACACCTTTTTTACTGGTAATTGCAAAAGCAATATTCATAGAGTTTTACGTTTAAAAGCTAATTTTCTGGCGGCATGGTACTTTGGTACATCATTACGTGTTTTTCTACATGTACTTAACAGATCAGTTCGGGGTGGGTTGGGGGGGGGGGGTGGATTCAACTTCATTCACCACTGTCCGTTCACTTTAGGTCAATTTATCCAACCCAGTGTATACTTAGGTGAGTGACATGTCGCTCCTACACAATTGTGGTGGTGAGGTGTGTGTGGGGGGGGGGGGGGGAGATAACCAACTCAGAGTGAACATAGCGTAAGTTTTTTAGATGACTGTTCTAAACATACATATATATTACACAAATATATTTTACACAAATATATATTACACAAATATATATTACAGAAATAGATTTAAATAAGTAGAAGTGGTATTATGACAATATTTTTTTTTACAGAGGGGTCCATGGGGGAGGGGGGTTGTAACTGTTTCATACTACTACTTGTCAAATTTCCCCACCACTACGCAGTTTGCTCATACGTAAATTTAAATAGAGATGCCACATCAGTTGTATTTGTTTCTGTATTGTAATTTTTTTAAAAATTAATCACACGATTCAAACTATATATAAAGTAATTATGTGTGAAGTTTTATGTGTAACATTTTCTAATTCAATTATTCGTAAGCAAATACATTATACAGTTGCCTTAAACTTAACACCCCTCTTGCCAAGTGGTACTACCGTAGAGGTTTTTTAAACATTGCAATGCATCGTAATGGTTATTTTTAGAATGGCAAACTGATGCATCTGTTAATACGTGTTGTAAACATAGACACTTCTAGCCTAGTACATTAATGCTTAATTGTTGCATGAAAAGAAATCTTGTGATTTACATAGATGTGCCGACCAAAAATATTTTTTTAACAAATATCATTGTTTAAAACTTTGAGTTTAAAAAAGTTTCCGAAAAGGCGCCACTTTGCTGAAAATGGCCAGAGGGGGGAGCGGCCGCTCCCCCTGCTCCCCCCCCTGCGTACGCTACTGCCTGGCATGGAGCCAGGTGAACTTTCTGTAACGAGTTCCTCATCTCGAGAAAAAGCACCGCAGTGAAGGCCGACATTTTGCATGCGTGACAACTAAGGATTTGCTGAATACCAAATCGTCTGAATGTGAGAGCTTATTACAATCAATTGGCGTCTGCTGCATGTTTTAACAAGTAGATGCCACGACCGGGGCCCGTGATTTAATAGCTTCATTAAAACTTTATTTTAAATAATCAGTAAACCTTGTTAAATATTTTGATTTGTTTATTAAGTTTACAAAAAAATTAATTAAGTTTTTAATTGAGCTACACTCTGTGCGCCATGATTCACACACAAACATACTCAATGCCCCATAGACCAACACATTGTAGCATTTTATGTAGGCTTGACTTACATCCTATATTTAACACAAGGGGGTCGTCCATAAATGACGTCACACTCGAAGGGGGGGGGGGGAGTGGTCCGTAATTTTTGGAAGTGTGTGACGAGGGGGATTGGGGGGGGGGGATGTTCAGATGGTGTGACGTCACACTTTTGCATTATAAAAAAAACAATGTTTTGGGACGATGTGTGACGGAATGGAGAGGGGGGGGGGGGGGGTAAAAATTGCCCAAAAAAAAGCATGACGTCATTTATGTTTGAACACCCACCCCACCTATACGAATTATTTTATTCTTCTCGGTCTATACACACCACCATTAATTAAAAACAAAACCCTTTTAGATCCAGGTTTATTTAGCTTGCCTGCCATAAAGGCACTCTAATTCACCCATTAGAAAACTGCATCTAGAACCTTCAATCACGAATTCATATGAAGTGAGTTTCAAAAACTGATACCTAAGCCGAGTTCATCAATCAGGTCATGTTGGCTGAAGAGGTCAAGGATCTTCCTGTCTCATTGATTCAACATTTGCTTAACATTATCACATAACAGAACTTTCTAGATCCTGCTGACATTTTTCTTAGAATAAAACTATTCCTAAAAGAAATATAGCCTAAAATATATTTACATTACAACACCCTCCCTCTTAATGAAAAGAAGTTCAGTGTACTTAAATATATAGGCCTAGATCTATTTTATTATACAACTTCACTATCATTATAATATACCGGGAGTGATCTCCCCCTTAACTTTCTCGAATATAACACTCAGGGGAATGGCAACTCGGGATATAGACATGATTTTTAATTACTTAAAATTTTAAAAATAGGACATAGTTTCGTTGAAAAAAGAATTGCACACAAAGTGAACTGCAAATAATGTGTGTATAATAGTGCGGAATATTAGTACTTTATAAATTCATGTGTTTTTTTTTTTGTTTTTTTTTTTTGAGAATTCGGAAATAGCGTAAAGTACTACTTTTGGTCAAAGGAAATTACTCAAATTTTGACAGAAGACAGACAATTAGATTTTTTCTACTTATATGTGAAATTTCGTCTATTTCAAACAGTACTCAAGTAATAGGCTTTTGAAAAACCACAAGTATAATAAGTCCCACTTCCGTTTACCGGAAATCGCTAAAAAGTTTACACAGAACTACAAATTTGATAAAATATTTTTGTATGAAATTTCATCAACCTAGCTTTAACTGTACTCAAGTTATCGTGTTCACAGACACACAGACACACACATACACACAGACATATGGACAAAATTGCAAAACTATGTTTTTCCAGTAAGATGATTTTTTGATTTTTTTTTTGCACGATTACAATAATTCCTCTATACTTCGTATACGAGAAAGTAAAAAAAAAATCTGGTAATATTTAATGTCAAAATCGCGCTTTTGTTTATCTATATTAATCAGTTAACGCGACATTTATGAATCGGAACTCAAGGGGGGGGGGCAAAGCGTTGACAAATTGTTAATTACCTCCTGCTAAGGTAAGACAGTTTTATTTGCAGCCTTTTAAACCGTCGCTTTTTTTTTTTTTTTTTTTTATTCTTTTAAAAAATTCCCCTGAGCAAGTGAAGTAAGAATTGTATTCTGCAAAAACTAACCGTTACTTTCAAGTGTAACATACAGTATGTAACCTCCCTTGCCACAATCAGAAACTTCACAAGACGGGGTGGGGGGGGCCTACCGAACCGGGTAACACCATTGGGGGAGGGGGTGACACCAAGGCAAAAAAAAAAATTGCTAAATATACAGAAGAAAAATTCATTTTCAGTTCAATTAATGATCTACAAATAGGGGGGAGGTTGAGGGGTTTATACCACAAAGTAAACCTGCTAACAAGAGAGAAATCAATGTTTATATGAAGCTGTATCGATATCAGCCTATAGATAAACGTGACTAAAAAGCTATCACCCGGGTATGGACGTGAGGTAACACAAACTAAATATATATATATATATATATATATATATTATATATATATATATATATATATATATATATATATATATATATATATATATATAATAGGAAATGGTCGCTAAAATGTCCTCTGAAGTCCACTCCAAGTTCAATAACCAAGTTACCCATTTCGTACCTGGTTGTCCTCGTGGCACTTGAAGTAGAGTTCACCCGTTTCTTTTATCTCGGTATATGAGATACATAAACTGTGTTCGGCTGATGACGTTTCTACCTAAATTGTATTCAACTGATGACATTCTACCTAAACTATATTCAACTGATGACTTTTCTACATAAACTATGTTCAACTGATGACTTTTCTACATCAACTGTGTTCAACTGATGACGTTTTTAACTAACTACAATCGAATATTTTAGGGACAAAACCTTCAGCAAAGAAATGAAACCTCAGACGGTCGATTAACCATGGAACTGTCGTTACGTCATAGTATTATGATTCACTAGTTGTAGAACATTTGTATTAAAATTTATGCGCGTCTCATTATGGCAACTACCACCACCGACGCATCTTTAAAGAAAAGGGAGATAACTTGGTATTTTCACACTATTCTATACCTAGGATTTATTTCAGTTTCTGTCCCTTTAACAGATTACATGCCTGGTAATTTAACTAAATATCAGGTTCTTCCAGCCCCCCCCCCCCCCCCCCCCCCCCCCCCCCGAAGGAGATGGAATTTATATAGAAAACATATAGAAACCAGTGTATGCCCCCCCCTCCCCTCCCCCCAAAAAAATATCAATTGCCCAACAACTGTAATGTATACTCCAGGTAGATACTGTGGAGTCGAGGGGTGGGAAGGGTCTTGAGTCCTGTAATTTATTGGGTTTCAATTTGTGCTTACTTTTGTAAATATTCTGTATTTAGATCTTTCTGTTTGCGCATATTTCCTTTTGGTCATTTTTTTTTAGTGTATATATTTCTGTATAGACAAAATCCCACTGGAGATTTTTTGGTCACTATTTATTGACCAACACAAAGTACAAATATATTGAAGGTAAACTTCTGTCCATTAAAAATTAATATTTATTGTCAGCACCAGAACATGCTTTGCCAAATCTCATTTGTTGTTATTTGTTGTTACTGTTAATCTTTTAAAAATAAAATCAATAGTAAAATAAACAGTTCATCAGCTTTTTTTTTTAAAACTTTAGTCCATTCAGTAGCCACCAAGCATTATTAAAGTAAGCACTTAACAAAAGCTTTATAAAAATATACATGTATTTGTACAAAGCTCATCACAATTACACTATAAATGTATTAGACAATAAATTACAATCAGCACAAAAGATGCATCACTCATCAGCATTCTTCTTGCTACTATCAGCTATTTGTTTACTCTCCCTTTTTATCTGTTCGTATTTTTCAATTGTCTTTCTTATGCCAATCTTATTCATGGATTCCATTATTTCCTTAAATTTAGCATCTTCTTCATCCTCTGAAGGTTGCTCCACTTGCTCTTCCTCATAGGGAAATGTCATTGTGGAGGGTGGAATAAGTGCTGCAGCTACAACTCTTCTCTCTTCATTTAAAAAGTTAAAAGTTGCGCATGCCTGTTCCTGAAAAACAGTTGGAAGATAGTGTCAGTAACTTATGAAATTGCCTTCACAAGATAACACTGATTAAATCACAAAGCAGATGTAATAAATATGGTGTCATGTTGACAAAATAGACACTATAGATTTCTGATTCTGACCAAATCAAAAGTCTTTATAAACCACACATTTACATAAATTCCTTTAAAAAATACACCTATTATTTGAAGCAACATAACAAAACTTTGAAAACTTTGAAATTAAAATATAATAGGAGGGCAGTTGACACACAAGTTTATCTGTACAGTACTGTAATTAAATACAATGTTACTAACTGTGGGCAGTATCTCCATGTTGATCTTATTTTGTCGCAGATATTTAATGACACTAGGGTCTACTTTTGCATCCCAGTCACCTTTACCAATCAAAAGCACATCTGCAAAAGGAATTAAAGTGCACTTGTAAAATAAATTTTAAAAACTTAAATTTCTTTTACAATGTTTTGTGAAGATACAGTAAATTTGGTACATGAAATGCTCAAATGTAAGGATCACTTAGTGAATTAGTCACAGTGGTAACATTTTAAAAATCCAACCTGGCATTTTTCTTTGCATATAGAAGTTTGGGCAGAAAACCAAACTAATATATGGAGCATGCATTATGTGTGTTTAACAGTAATATGGAAAAACATTTTATTTTACATATTTTATTACATGGAGAAAAAACAAAGTGAAATTTTTTTTTCTAAAAAAGATTAGTTCATATAATATCAGAAATGATGGAAAAGCAATCAAACTATGTGTTCCAGGCAATGAGAAAATTCTTATACCTAGTTTTGGTTCTAGCATTGTGAAAAGTGAGAGAGATTCTGGGGTGATTTTATCAGCTGAGTGAACCTGTAATGAAAAGAAAATTATCTTGTATAAAGAAAAATAAAGAATGAAAATTTAAAATTACTGTATAAGTTAAAGGAATAATATGTGCTCTTAACATTTTCATTACATTACCACGCTACACCCTCGATCACCTGCAATAAACCTTGGAATTTTTCTAACAGTTTTTAATTTTAAAAAACCCACTAAAAAATGAGCATACCAATTAATCAATCAATAATAATGTAATATGACTATATACAAACTCTAAGTATGTCTGACCCCTCTCTCAAAGAAAATTATGAGAATAGCCATGTGCATATCCCTTTTGTCAAAGTATGAAACATGAACTGTATATTTTAATATTCTTCCATTGCCTTTCTACAGTTTGGGTATGTGTGTGTGTGTGTGTGTGTATGAGAGAGACTACTGCTCAGCTACAGGGTGGTGAATACAAACAGAAAACTTACATTCCACTGAAGGATAGTACGAGGGAATACCACACATGGTCCAAGAATAAAAAATCCAGAAGTTAGCCGAAACCCAGATGGTGTAAACTGATCTATATAATTATGGGTTGAATCTTCTTCAGAAATAAAAGTTAAGTTTGTTTTACTGTAAGCTTCTCCATCAAAGTTGTGAGGTCTTACAGTGGAGCTAAAAATAGAATAAAATAGAAGTTGAGTAACTGGTGTGACTGGCTTGTCATGATTAGTAGCATCATTAAATTGTATAGGCCTAAACCTAGAAATATTATTTTAGGAAAGATTTTTGTCTATTCCCAGTCGACTGGGAATAGCTGAAGTAGGGCTATTCAGTCATGACTGTTTTTGATACATTTAATGTTAAAAACACCCACAATAAGCAAGAAGTTGAGTGATCGAGTGCACATTTGGGTGGCTGTCATGCTAAAAGGTGTGGGTTCAAACCCATCAGATGCTATCTTCACTTCGACACTTATCTTATGTTTACCATAATTACAATCTACCTAATTCATACTAAATATTTTTAGATGAATTATAAAAATTACTATGCGTATACAACCAACACTCATTACATTACATTTAATTATTCCTAAGTTAATTTGCACTCTCTAAATATTTAATACATAAAATTATTAACAAATTTCATGCAATTATAATTTTGTGACTTTTTTTCCTACGACTTTTTTTCCTACAATCACCTAGTACCAGTAGTTATAGTTTGTTCTAGTAAAGTTAGGCTAGTGCTTTAGATTTTTTAATTTACTTTTTAGATTGTAGGTCAATTTACTAAATAATTTAGCCTAAGGCTTAGCCTAGATAATATAATATAATAATAATAATAGCTTTAGGACTTAGGACCACTTTAGGGGTTTAGTTTAGGTATTAAGGTAGGCCAATCACAAATTTATTTAGTTTTAGCTGCGTAAAAATAAAATCAGCCGAGGCTAGTAATGTGAAAAAAGTTGCCTCATTGTTAAGGCTTTAATAGAAGTATATTGAAATATTGTGATACATTTGTGTCAAATATTATAGAAAAGTGAAAAATATATCAATATAGGCCAGAAATTAACTTTAAACAGCAGTGTTTGCAAGCAAGATTTGCTATCTATATAAACAGCAGCCATCTGTACGTGGTCTCCCCTGAATCTCTAACTATAATTTATCGGAAAAAAAACTTAAACTGTTAAAGTAAATGAGCTTGGTTGCATCTGATGAAAACATTGCTAGTCTTTATTTTTTACTGAAAAGTTTTAATACAGTTGTTTAAAAACAGGTACATTAGGCCTAATCATTATTAATTAAACACTGAAACATTTTTGTAACTTTCAAAACATAAATCCACATAAAAATGTGAAATAATGACTAAAATTTAATGAGTCACCTTTTTTTCACATTTCTAGTCTCGGTCGACTTTACTTTTGACTTTTTTCTTACCATTTATTTTTATTAAGCCGCTATGGCCTAATTTTAATATAATTTACTAAAAAAAATTACAATTTAGGGTAATTTCATTAGGCCTACTAAACTATTCGGTAATCTATCGTTTTGGGTACGTAAAATCGCCCGCGGTTATTAATGTACGAAAACGTTACCTCATTGTCAAGGCTGTAATAGAAGTATATTGTGATATGTTTGTGTCAAATATTATAGATAAATGAATAATAAACCTAAATCAATGGCTAAATATATCAATAGCGAGTTGCGCAGCTTGCGCCGTGACCTGTGTTGCCATGGTAATCATGGCTGTACCTTGAACCTAAATTCCATGTTTCCGGTTGACCATTGCTAATTAAGGCCGTGTCGCTTAAGGCTCTACCACAGCACACCTGATCTACGCATGTCGCCGTGCGCATCTTTGTTTTAACCTCAAGAGGATTTAGATTCCAAGCCTATTTTAATTTTTGGATCTCGTTTATTATCTTACAGAGGAGCAATGTGCTGAAATATAAGGTAAGTGTCTATAAATAATAAAGTACTTAATATTTAGAAAGAGATGCCTAAATGTTGATGAGAATAATAATTGGGCCTTGTAAAATTAACCTATATTTTAAAATTACGATTTCAATGGTCCGCAAGCCTAGGAAGACTGTCCGCGAGAGAGCCTTAATTTCGCGCCAAATTTTCTGTGATTCTTACATTATTAAAATATCGCATTACTTGATAACGGCTCTCCGATATCTATGATATATTACTATTACTAGGCCAAATATTAATAATTTAGATTAAGTAGCCTACATTTACTAAGTTATTTACGGTTGATTACTTAGGACAATTAGGTCTAGACTCTACATTAATTTAATTTTTAGATTTTTACACAAGTAGACTTAAATTTTGATCTAGATTTCTAGAACTAGATCTAGACTCAGTAAATAGGCCTAGATCTAGATGATATTAAGATAGCCTAATAGATTTTGGATTTAGAAAAACAAATCCAGATTACTAGATCTAGATCTAGATCTAGCTCTATTGATCTACTGAATCTAGCTTTAGGCCTAGCTAGTTCTGGACTCTAGTTTAATTCTAGATCTAATTGAATCTAATAGGGCCAACACTGATCTAGATCTAGATTCTAGTAAGAAATAGGTGCTAGTTCATTTAGATATAGATTCTAGATCTAGAATCTAGGGTTAGGGTTAGATTAAATTAAGGTTAAATTAATTAGGTATAGGCCTAAGTGTTCATCTAATTCTGCATTATTAAGTAGTCCTGTCCTAGGCCTATACCATTTCAGTAATTAGCCTATTTATTTTAATTCAGTACATTTAGATGAACACAATCATTTAATCATTATGTTTGATTAGGACTCTACATTAATTTTTTAGTTATATTTTTACACGTTTTCAGTTACAGTAGGCCCCCCTAATGTTTTTATTATTTTTTATTTTTGCCGAAACTATTCTATTTCATACAAGTACTAGTCTAGATCTAGATCTTGTAAAAATAGTCACATAGTGAAACATTGTTAAATGGTTAAGAATAGATTTAGACTAGTTCAGGTATAATTCTCCATCAAGTAGGCCTATAATTAAATATATTTAAATTAATATAGGCCTATGTATTGTATATATCTATAACTAGTCCTATACAATAATATAATTTTATAAAGCCCTATGCCCTTAGACCTCTTTATTAAGGAAAATTTTAGTACTTGATAATTTTATTAAATTTAATATTAATTTAATTCTAGACTTGTGTGCCTACAACTTGGTGTAAAGGGGATCGCTAATGCAATCATAAACTTGGTGGCTGAGATAAAGCGGCTGAGGAGATCAGAGGCTTGTGAGTGGAATAGGTTGGTGGAACTTGTGTACAGCCCTTTCTATGTTCAACAAATGTCTCAGGTGGAAGTACATTTAGTAAGTATGGAGACTGAATTTATTTCAAATTTTTATATTTATTTTATATACTTTGCAATATGTTGTGCTAGGTAGGCCCTATATATTTTGTGAAATGGTCTCCTAAATTCTAATTCCATTTGCCCTTCTCTTTTCAGGTACAGTTTCCATGGAGATCCAGCTTTATTCAAGGCTCATCTTAAAGAGAATGATGTGGCTGCTGGGACATAACTAAAATCTACATTCAACTGCTTGCAGATCTCAAGAAGCCTGGGGTTCCCGTGCAGCGCCGCAAGCACTCAGGCTGATTAAGAAGTTAATTTCTGGCCCTTTGATAAAGATCATTTACAAGAATGCAATGTGGCAATCAAATGTAGATCTACTCTGTTTCTTAAAGTCATGGAAGCGTTGTTGACAGTTGACTTCTACTGAGCCTTTCTTGGTGCGACAGCTGGAGAGGTATCTGACGGGAAATCTGATTGGTGTCCAGCTGACTCATAAGTGGAAGCAAGGTGATCAGGGTGTGTCGCAATACAGTGGAAGGACTATCAAAAGGGTGCCAGAAACAAAACAAAAGTCAGCTCTTTACACCATAAGCTACTGGGCAGAGGATGAGGATAATTCTGAGGATTTCAGTTATCTGGCAGAATCACTGGTTGTTGACTTTGTAGGAATCTTGTTTTTCTTTCTGAATAATAGCTTATCAGAATTTCAGAGTACTTCTTTCATTTTTAGTATACAAATGAACTTTATTTTTTAAACATTAGTGTTTTAGTAAATTGTTACTGAAAAAATGATTGCTCTGAATTGTAAATTTATTTTGAAAACTAATACTAACAATGTTTATAATTAAGTTTAGTTTTCATAGTGTAAAAACAATTACATTTTAATTAATTACTTAACTAATTTTTCAGGGTAATTGACATCAGCTAGATAATCCTAGAATCAGTAGTTAATGTGCTTCAAAAATGTTGGTCCAAACTAATTTATCACACAAGTACTAACGCTTTTTAAAATATATATTTTTTCCTCAGATGTGCTAATTGTATCTAAAGATTAATTATAATTGATACTTTAGAAAATTGTTTTAACACTAAAGAGACTAAAGTGGTCCAAGAAATTTTTCGTCACCTATTTTTTTTCCAGCATACACTCAATGAATGGTTAGATTTACTAGTAATTATACTTTAAACCAATATTTTAATGTTTATTCCTGGATAATTAATACTATACTACTTTTCTTCTTAAGAGGGATCGTAATGAGACGAGGCTGATTTCTTGTACTGTAGATTTGTTTCTTCACACTAATTATGATTATGTAACTGTTTTACAGTACTGTGAAGGTCGTAGATTATACAAGGGCTAAATTTAGGTTGTCACTATGTAGTTTATTTCTTTGCTCTGATAAACATATTTTTAAATTATTGCAAAAAAATCTTTTTTTTTTACTTTGCCATTCTCCTAAATGTTTCTATTTTATTAGACAAAATTAAAATTCATGTGGTAATCTGATTACTGTATTTTAATACTGTGTTTCTCACATTCTAATAATTTACATTGCATAGTTTAGTAGTAATAAACACTGGTACACACTTTGACACTTGTTTTCTTTTATTTTGTTCTATAATTTTATTATGGCCTCCTGATATAGACACTGAATATCAAGTAAGTGGGGGGGGGGGGGGGGGGGGGGGAGAAGGGGGGCTGAGAAAGTAACGTAAAGGCAACTTCCATTTTTCATGTAGTGTGTGTTTGTGTGTATGTAGGTCTACTCTACTTCATCTACCCAAGTAATATCGTTCATTACAATTAGATAATAAAGAACTTGTGCAGTAATATGTGCTTATGCATTTCTATTATATAATAATAGTAGTAACAGTATTAAATATTAATAAATCGATTTACAATAACTAGATCTAGTTTATTTTAAACCTAGATCTACATTATTTTTTTTTACACGGAGTAATAAGTCAATAATAATATATGAATGGCATTAAATTACTCATTCAAATCACATCCAGTCCAGTATAACTTAGACTTTAAGCTTGATTATAATTTTTTAGTTTTAAAAAAAATGCGAATCCCGGATGATGCAATAAAATTATAATTTTTTAATTTTTCGAAAAATGCGAATCCGTGATGATGCAATGAAAAAACTATCGGTGCCAACTTTTTTGCTTATGTAACATTGACTTGAATGACGAAGGTCTAAGCTGTTTTAGCCACGCCCACAAATTTTTAAAAGGCCATATCTTAGCTCCTAATTAAGCTAGAGACACAAAATTGGTATCAATGTGTAGGGAAAAAAATCCTGTTTTATTGTGATATAATTTTACTTGAAATTAGTGGAGTTTAAAAAATACGAGCAACAGCCTAATATCAATATAGGCCAGAAATTAACTTTAAACAGCTGTGTCTGCAAGCAAGATTTGCTATATAAACAGCAGCCATTTGTAAAATAGAGTGACTTCCGCCTGAATCTCGCGCTATATGTCTATAAAAATAAAACTTTAACAAGATGGCTGCTATAGTAAATGAGCGTGGTTGCATCTGTTGGAAACATCGCTGGTGTTCATTTATTACTGAAAAGTTTTAATTCAAATGTTTAAAAACAGGTACATAAATGAAACAAGGAAACATTTTTGTATTTTTCAAAACATAAATCCTCCTCAAAATGTGAAATAATTATTAAAATGTAAGGAGTCACCTGTTTTTCACATTACTAGTCGCGGCCGATTTTACGTACCTAAAACGATAGATTACCAACTATTCTAATAATTGTATTTTAATTGATTGAATTGACATTGTAAATTTTACAACAAGTCTTGTTGATAGTGATATTTCAATTTTTAGGCATACGTTTTAAATAAATTTTAATTTTTCACTTACAACACTAAAGAAAGAGAAAGTTACAAAGTGAAGTGAAACTGAGTACTGGTTCCTGACGACTAACCTTGCAAGGTTTCGGATACTTCTGTACAGTACGGATAAACACCTGACTGATAGCATGATTAATATTTTTAAAATAAACGAATTCAAATTAAGGCCATCAAGTGAGACTGCAGATTCGATCGAGATTCTGAAACTATTTATATCTAACAGATCGAATTATCAACAAAAGAATAGGCCTATTTGTATTTAACAAAAATAAATATAATTTTCTTGGCTAAAAAAAAATCTGCTTATGGAGTCCAGAGTAGCTTCCCTTTTACTAAACAAAGGTCATACTAAAAACTAATAGATTATAGATCTAAATCTAGAATTTACTAGGCCTATAATTGATTCGTTTTTTAGTATGACCTTAGACTCTAGATCGCTGTCCCTACAGTAGCCCCTACCGTTCATGTCGTATTTTATTGTACTGTTAACACGATAGCAGTGGCGAGCTTCTAGCTACCACATCTCTAGCTCAAAACCCCGCAATGCCTGGAGTGGATGTCGGTTTGGATGGGGCGTTTATAGAGCTCACAACCAGAGTTTGTTTCTTACAGGCATCTCTAGAAAATATATAATTTTAAGTGTATCCGCCCCCCCCCCGAAAATTTCAAGTGCCCCCCCCCCCCCCGGAGAAAAAAGTCTGGAAGAAACACTGCTCACAACCTACCATGGATAACAATAAAAAGTTAGGGGTCGTCCATAAATGAGGTCACACTCGTAGGGGGGAGGGGAGGGTCCGTAATTTTGTGACGGTGTGTGATGAGGGGAATGGGGGGGGGGGGGGGTTCAGATGGTGCGACGTCACACTTTTGCATTATAAAAAAGCAATGTTAGAAAACAAATTTTAGACGTTATTTTGCGTTTTAGAAAACGGTTTTAATAAATTGTAATAGGAATTGATTAAAATACAGAATTCAGACAATATTTTGGAAAAATATCGATGTTTAAAAAAAAATTCAACTGCAATTTTGAGGGTGGGGTTGTAGGCTGAGGTGTGACGTCATTTGGGGGGGGGGTCTGACTTTTTATGACGACTTGTGACGGAAGGGAGGGGGGTAAAAATCGTCCAAAAAAAGCGTGACGTCATTTATGAATGACCCCCTTATCAAGTTCAACTTTTAATTGTCCTGTATTTTGCCTGGAACAAGGGTTTTAAAAAATATAACTGAATGACATCCGAAGACACCCATTTTTTTAAAAATCCACTTGTATTAGAAATAAAGTGAAAGCTCTAATTAAGCATTTGGAGTAGTAGCAAGATGTTGTACTAGTTGTAGATAAATACATTTTGAAGCCCCACGCCATAAGTTATAGCACCTAGTGACACCCGACCTTTTGACGCAACATGATACAACATTAATTTCTGATGAAATCTGCAAAAAGGAGAACTGATGGGTACCTAACTCACGTTACGAAAAGTAAAAGCGGCTCGTCATAGTGCTAACCACATTATAATCATTATTTCTTTTACACCCTACCCTTTATTGTCCCGTGGACCGCCAGGTTAGAAAGGGGAATTATAGTTTACAGGCCTATTATTTTACCTGCCAAAGAATCAGGATTTTTTTTAAAAGCAGATTATGGCCATCGGAAAACATAAATACTATTAATTTATTACATTTCATATAGTTAAAACAGAAAAAAAAAGCGTGTGTGTTGCTTAGCAACACAATGTGACTTGTAACCCCACCCACTTTGCCGCTGTACCCCTTGAATAAAACAAATTCTGCTGGAATGTTGCCATTAGTAAATAGGACTATAATATGCCACTAAGGACAAAAGCAGAAGAAATATTTTCATAAAATCTGCGTTTGTTCACCAAAAATCAAAATACGCAACTGTCTGAAGATAGGTGTAACTAAATGTGCGAATGGCTTCATTTTACCATTTGTCTATAATAGTTTCGAATTTTAAATAAATAATTAAATAGTGCCTATTAATATACGTAGATACAGCTATTATAGTATAGGCTATAGGTCTGGATTTAGCCTTCATAAGCTATATACTATATGAGATATGGGTCTCTCCCCAATAAGACATGTCAGCCTATATGACAGTGCCATACAATATTTTGGATAACTTTTTTATAATGTTACCTGAAATTTTCTTTATAAAGTAGGCCATATAGGTTGTGACAATCTTTAAATAAAATTATAACTAAGTAGCCTACAAAGTTAAAATGCAATATCAGGTAAAAGAAACAAAAGATCATTTAAAATCCACAAATTAAAAAGCTTATTATTATGCAACTGCAATATTTTAAAATATTTCATATCGACATCTTCTGGATTTGATCTTGAACTATGTTCTTTGTAGCTACTAATAATAAGAATGAAAACTGCAGCCTTCATTTCATTCTAATGCATACATCACAAGGGTGATGCTTTTATCTGCCATCACAAGGGGAAATCCTTTTATATTCTGAACATCTCTTGGCTCACTGTTATTCAAAGCATGATCATCATTATTTATATGCATTCTTCTAAATGTTTTTCTTGTAATCAACATCAGACAATATATCTTTAGCTTTTTCTTCTAAATAATGTAACATATCCCTGTACATGTCAACAAAATCCTAAATTGAAGTACCTTATTATACAATTACTAATTAGGGAGTTTTGCTATGGTCTATTCTGCCCTTATTTGATGTGCAGCATCTTAGCTGAACTTTTCTGTGTGTCTACCTGTCTCTATGATGAATGCTAGAAAAATGTATAAAGAGAAAATCATCAAAGTGAAACAGTGAGCTGATCAATTTTGAACTGGTCGAGATTGGAATCTGAAGATAATCTGATGTATTCTGCAGTTCTTAAATCATCCAAGATTTTGTATGTTACTTTATGTACATGATTCTGATAAATTAATCACATATAATTATAGAAAGATAAAAATGTGATACATTATTCCCACATTTCTTTAATAAAGTATAAAAGAAACGTGGGATGATGCATCACATAAATTATAAGGTTTGTTAAATGATCCAATTTCACTATAAAATTAGAGTATTATAAGCAGATGGCAATTGTGAACCAATTGTTTTTTTAGGGTAATCCATCTAACTAAAAAGACGTCACAGCTTAGCCTACAACATTACAATTTAATAGATTAAAATTTAAGAGGTCTTTAGCTGTCATCAGAAATTCTTTTACTTGGAATGTGATACTAATAGTGGGCCTTTCTGAACTGTTTCATGATTTGGTTTACCAAAACTCAAAAACATCCCAGCTAAAAAAAAAAGAATTTGGTAATCACTCTAATAAAATAAAAAACAGCAGTAAGATCAGAATGAAGAATCAGTTTATTGGGCTTACAGACACTGGTAATAAGTTGTTGGACTAGCATGCTATTATAAGATGCTCCATATGGCGCAACTTGCATCTGATGTTGCAGCCAATTTGTCAGCTCAAAATACTTTCATAAAGCAAGCTAATTAACTAACTTAACCAATCAGGGTACCACATAGCAGTGTGTTACAAATATTAAATACACCTTTTGGTCTTTAACCCTGCAGTCCACAATTATTTAATTACCTTAATGGTCAGATTAAAATGACTAATATTAAAGAGTAATGGAACATGATAATACCAGTGCATATACTAAGAAAAAGACAATTATTAACTTACTGAAAATGCAACGAAAACTGAATGCTTGGACATAGATCTGTTCAGGTAGGATACATTTTTAAAAACTTTTTTTTAAACTATAGGTTTCCAACATTTGCATAATGCTATATGAATATGACTGATATAATCTACCAGCTAATGTTGAAAAAAATGTGGATTTTTTAAAAAGTTAAGTTATAAAATAATTATCAAATTTTTGTTCTTTATATATATTTTTAGTTCATAACATTTTAACAAAAACCACAGTACAGTTAATTTAAAATGACTATTATGTTGGAGTAAACCCAGATTAAATTCAAAATGTGTAAAACAAATCATAATATATCAAAGAAGTACATGACTATTAGTTTGATAATTCTATGGGCTGTACTTTGACACACATTTGTCACATACACTGACTAATATTCCATGTACACAAGTCAAAGCTATTAGCAAAACTGAGTAAAGGTTTTTTTTAATAAAACATAAAAAAATGTCTTTATAAAATAGATTAGTACAATACTAAAACAAATCACACCATTCAGTATAGAAAATGCTACATCTCTCAGTTTTCACATTTCAAAGTTCAATTTCTAAATTTCATTAACTAATGCTGGAGAGATACATAAGCCTTTTACTTAAACAGTGAAAAATGAATAAGGGAGATTACAGCAAGAAATAAAATTTAGTACAGAAACAGAACACAATTTTATAGCATATCATTCGATCATATCATGTAAACTTACAATTACACAAAGAATGAAATGACTTTCCATGTCATGTTAATAATTTATTATTAAAGAAATACTATGCCACCCACACCATTGAATAGTTTCAATGCTTTTCAAATGACTGAAACAATGACGAGCAAAATGAGTACAGGGTGCTGGAGGCTCAGCAAGATTTGGGGTGCTATGATTAGTAACTGCTCCCACTGCTCTTTGTTAAAATTTAACTCATTAAGCGAGCAAATGACCCTTTCAATGCAATGGTAAAATGTACAATAACTTTTTAACTAGAGAAAGAAAAATGAGTATATTATGTAATGAGAGACAAAGTAAATGGTTTAAATGAAAAGCCTGCAAACCATTATTTCTTTTATAACAACTCTGTACTACAATTTCAGGGATGACCAGTGTATGTTAAGGAATGAAATAATTTTACATTTGATGGGGGGGAGTATTTAAATGCCCCAATCAATAAAATAAAAATGAAAAGCCTAAAAATACATATTTCACAGATAAGAAAAATGTGCATATGAACTAAGGTACAATTTCTATAACCATGAAGAGTTTGTTGCACGCATCTTTGCCTATATTTAAGAAGACAAAACATTCTCACCAGCCCCAGATTGGAAAATAAAGCACACATTCACAATACAATGCATCCACCTTTTTTCTTCTTTTTGACTTGGAGAGCAGCCCTTGTAGCAGTTTCAAAAACTTCTCGTACTCCCTCCTTGGTTTTAGCAGAGCACTCTAGGTATGAATAGGCACTGATTTTCTCAGCCATGGCCCTGCCTTCTTCAGGCCTAACTGGTTCTTGCTTCATTTTCATAAGCTCACGTTTAGTGCTTTCATCATTTCGAAGATCCTTTTTATTACCCACAAGAATGATTGGAACATTTGGACAAAAGTGACGTACCTAAAAGAATAAACTTAGGAATCAATAAAAACACATAGAAAATAAAATAGTTGTTTTAAAAGGTTAGGCATTAAAATTAATAGATTATTTCATCTACATAGCAATGTTTTGTATCTATAAAAAAAAAGCATACCTCTGGAGTCCATTTCTCAGGGATATTTTCCAAACTATCAGGACTGTCTATACTGAAGCACATAAGGATAACATCTGTATCAGGATATGACAATGGTCGAAGTCTGTCATAATCTTCTTGACCAGCGGTATCCCACAAGGCCAGCTCAACCTAAACGTTATAAAATGTTCATTTTTCTTCAAATTACATTAAAAATGAAATCATGGCAAGTTATCAACCAGTACAAGTGCCATATTAAACTGATATTTTAAGAACAAAATTTTATTAAGTCAAATTTTAGCAGACACTTGAGATCATACACACCAAAAATTTTACCAATATATGTGGGATTTGACATTTTAATTTATATTCCATTAGTTAACTTATTTTCAGATGTGATCAGTCCGACTTAGACTAACTAAAAACAAATTACAATAATACCAAATGCACATAAAGTTTATTAACAACTCTTCAGGCAAACAAATAGGCTATGTTCATATATAAAGGTGAAAAAAAAACTGGGAAATCAAAGTTGCAAAATGAAGTTTATTAATTTTTTTTTATATTAAAGGCAAATACACTAAATTACTCCACTTAAAATTAAAGGTCATTGCCATACATAGAAATTATTAAAAGAACTTTAGTTAATGATGACCAACACATAACTCATTTGCCACCAAAGCCTCTTCATGTTTCAAAATCATGTTCATTTAATACTTACAAATAAAAATACACTTGTTAAAATAATTTCTTTAATATTTAGAGTCTGTTTCATTACTTGAGGTCTGCTTTGGATTGCTTTTTTGAGCAATTATAAAATGTCCCAAACAGGATGGTGGTTACAACACCCGGTATTTTGGTGCATTAGTAGCAAATGAGTTAAAAAAAAATTTCCACTGCAGCAATCAAGTAAGTTACTGGTTACACTAGGTGAACAAACCAAATACCTAGAAACAAATACACAACAACCAACATAACTTATGTAATGATAAAAATGATTCACAATATTTTACACAACAAGTGTGCAAGTTACAAACACACAATTAAAACCTACAATTCAAGCTATAGCTGCAACAAACTTAACCTGAAAATGTGCAGGGGAATTTATTTTAACCCTTTACAGGCCTACACATCCACCAGAGTAGATGCAGAAGTCTAGATGGTAACTTAAATTTGAAGATACCAGCGGAAGCGGGAAACGATGCATTTAATTTAAGTTGCTTTCTTATTGTTCCATTAGTAGTGGTTCAATTTTTCTAAAGTTAAGATTTTCTCTCTTCAAATTATGGGAAATGTTATTAGTGTAAATTAGTGTGATTAAATCTAATTAAAATGCCTCTGCAGATTCATTTATAATGTAACTATTGTGTAAAAAAAAATAGCTCAAGTTAAGATTTTCTCTCTTCAAATTATGGGAAATGTTATTAGTGTAAATTAGTGTGATTAAATCTAATTAAAATGCCTCTGCAGATTCATTTATAATGTAACTATTGTGTAAAAAAAATAGCTCCAGTGACGACTGAATTTTTTTTTTAGCATTTAATTTTGTAATATAAATAATATTAGACGGAGTGGTTTTGTTTACGTTATACTGAATTAGTGTTATTTTTATTTATAATTTGTAAAATAGTATCTATTTATCGTCATACATAATAAACTATGACCAATTTTGTGTAAAATGCTATTATCTTATTTTTTAAATGTAAGTGGTTATTCTGTTGGTTGTTTTTCAATGCACCATGGTAGAAAAATGTCATCTTTTCGTCTGGCGTTAGGGGAAGTAAAATAGTTTTGATGCACTGGCCAGTAAAGGGTTAAGATTTTATAAACCCACTGGATGAAGACTCTGCATAACTTACATTGGATATCATAAAAATCATCACTGTTAACTTTTTAATACCAAAATGCCCTAATTAAATTTTAAACAAAGATGGATATCTGAAAAATTAAGGTATCCTTTACAAAGTTTGCTAGAATTTGAACATAGGTTATCATTCTAAAAGCAAAAGAAAGAGTTTTATAGAAATTAACAGAACAAGGTACATAAAAAACTACATAAATGACCCGTAAGTGGTAAGCAGTAAATTTTCTAACAAATAAGTGGTAAGTCTCCTCATAACAATGCTTAGCCATTAAGAGAAAAAAAATGAAATAACTAAGCTAAATTGCTTACGTTTAACTAATCTATTTAACATAATATACAGAAATTTGTTCAAAACTATCAGTACTATACCAGACGAGTTTGATAATCCATTTTAGTAAATGCACAGTTGACCGGCTAAAGTAGCACATTATCTGGCTAAAGTAGCACATTATCCAAATTAAATGTTCGCTTTCATGCTAGGATCAATATAAAACAAGCACAGCTGATGTTAAATAACACCAGAAACCACTCACTATTGTTCAACTTAAAACAAATCCAGGATGAACACCTGAATTCAAAATTAAGTCACGCAGATACAAACCAGCAATAAAAATTGATACAAGGAAATTATACAACAAATTGACGTCACAGCCACCATATTCTGCCAAAACTTCTTAGAATGCAATTTTAAACATAAAATAATGTCTGTTGCAAAAACATTTAACAAGAGCTATAAATGATCAGGATCTACTCATCTGCACAGATAAACTGAAGCTAGTATAGTTAGTCTATTTTTTTTTAAATGTTAGATACACTTTAAACTTGATAGTAGCATAATAAAACATCTAAAAAAAATGCTTAAAGTGGTCAATGAGAAAAAAGACTAGTGATAGAAATGACAAAGTGGAAAAAAATATTTCAGGTTACCAATGAATGAATAAGTTGGAAAGCTTACAAATCACAAACAAAAAAAGCATTATCGACATTTTATTAACAATAGATATAGAGAATTCTTCATAAAAAACAGTGTTTAAAAAAATTAAACTCAAATTCTAGGATACTTGAAAAAAAAAAGCTGTTGGTTGGGATCATTTAAATGTCTGTTTAGGTTATGAAGTTATGCTAGTTAGGTATATTTTTTGCCAGACACAATGCAGCTATAATGAATAGCAAAATAATTTTAAAATATAAGATGAGTTCTCTAACTACAAACTTATTCCCACAGGAAATTCTGAATTTTGTACAAAGAATTTCTGTGATTCATACCCTGCTATAAAATGCAAAACTTTTTAAAGCACGATACATTTAAACTTTCTAGCTTTCCTCTTAATTGATAAAGCTGCTCTTGTAGCAGTTTCAAATACATCTCTAACACCTTCTTTTGTTTTGGCTGAACATTCTAAATAAGCATAAGCATTGATATTTTCTGCCATACTCTTGCCATCCTCAAATTTGACTGGCTGCTGCTTCATTTTATGCAGCTCTCTAATGGTAACTTGATCATGACGAAGATCTTTTTTATTTCCCACTAAAATAATGGGTACACTAGGACAAAAGTGCCGCACTTCTGGAGTCCATTTTTCTGGGATGTTCTCTAGGCTGTCAGGACTGTCTATTGAGAAACACATTAATATAACATCTGTGTCTGGATAAGACAATGGTCTAAGACGGTCATAATCTTCCTGTCCAGCTGTATCCCACAAAGCCAACTCAACCTAAAATGAAAATAGATATCTGTGAACAAATTTAATAATAGCATACTGTAATCTGTGCCTCATAAGAAATGGCAAAGAACGAGAAGTTTTATTTCTAAATAAGCTTTCTGAATTGACTATTTTATAGTGGGCAAAGTATTCATATCAATAGTTGTGTAAGTACAAGCACAATGCATCACAGAAACTTTTTTTTGTAAATCTCTGAGAAATATATAATTAAATCATAAAAACAAAATGCAGTATGAAATTAAGGAATTTCCCCAAAACATGAACACAGAATTAGAAAGCTAAAAGTCAGATCAAAATGTCAGTCATAAAATTCTATGGTACTACTTGGCTGAGCCAATATTGTAGTAGGGAAACTTTATAAAACAGTGATTAACTCTTATAAAATTAGCCATACAAGGATTTAACACTGGGAAATCATCTAAATTATACTATAAAGCAATGAAGCAATATTAGTCATACCTAAGACAACAGTAAAATTGTCAGGTCTTTCTGTTTGTATTTCAAATGTTTATTCATATATTAACATCGATATTTTCCTAACATTACTGAGTAAGCTTGAAAATGCAAAAGCAATAAACACTGCCTATTACAACTTCTAATATTTTGAAAATTCCCTTTTCAAGTTAAAAACAAATCTGAGATCTACTGAAAGAAAATAAATGACCAGAGACAATGCAGATTGAGTCACAAAATTCTAATAGAAAAAGATGGTTAAGCCTCTATGTTAATTGATATTTCATCTTATGTAACAGCTCAAAAGGTAATTTTAACAAGCTAACATGCATGTATTATGAGTTGATTAGTTAAATAACTAATTCTAAAGTGGTAGGCTATAATCTATAAATATGTTACTAAAAACATTGTTATTTACACAGCATAAAAAATGTTAGTTATATTACATAAAAAATGTAAAAAGCAATGCCATGCATTTTAATTGTATACTATTTTATTTAGAACTAGAAGCAAAAAATAATAGGAAAAAAATGTAGCTGTACCTAACAGTATACTGATGGATTAAAAAGCTTAGCCTATATAAAAGATGTAATGCTTCTAAAGTATTAATATACAAATGCTTTAATCCTCATCCAAATTTAGGATACTAAAAAAACATGCTGTAATTTTTTTCAACTCACCAAAAAAATGAAGTCTTTATATTCCATTATTTTCAAAGCCAGGAAAAAGTACGCCTTCTGAATCGCCAAAAGTCTGAGTGCGAAAACTATCAAATAAAACTGACTACAGGTAAGAATTTTTAGGAGCTGGTACCAATGTTTGTCATGTATCCGGGAAAAAAAAACTAACCTCGCAAAAATAAAAACATCTGAGTAAGGAACTTGATCAATACCATCAGAAAGTTAGTTTACTTTTCTGGGTTATTAATTGTTAACTCCCTCAACCTCTTGTACAACTTATTAATTTGGTAGAAGCAAACTGTAATATCCTAACAGAACCTTCTTTTAAAGAAATAACAACCTAGCAGGTATGTCTTTGTATTACACGTTTTTGGTGTTTTTAAGCAAAACAAGTTTGAAATCAAGAAAGAAAAAGTTAACCTTCATAGACTATTATAAAGGTAAACACTTGCATACCTGTTTGCCATCAACCTCTATGTCAGCTACATAGTTTTCAAAAACTGTTGGCACATAAACTTCAGGGAACTGGTCTTTACTAAACACAATGAGTAGACATGTTTTACCACAAGCACCATCACCAACTATCACAAGTTTCTTTCTGATTGCTGCCATGGCTGGCACTTAGGTTACCTAGAGTTAAAAACAGATGAATAAAAAGAACATTGATAATTTAAATAACTAGGACAAAATTGTTTTTTTTTTTAAAAAGGCCTAATTTGTAGAGTAGGCCTATAAACTAAAAAGGTGTAAAGTGGCTTAGGGTAAATAGGTGCACTATTAAGTCAATGCTTTAGGACACTTAACTTGTAAATTACAAAGGTAATCTAGTCTTTAAAAAGTATAAATAATTTTAGACTTTTAGTTGAGACTTGAGACAGTAGGGATAAGCACTGCAAATGAGAGGATAAGGTCATAGATTTCTACATCTAGAAATCTAGATCTTTTTTAAACAGTTCAGGTTAACATTAAATACATAGATCTATGTATATATAAACATTGATCTAGATTTAAATAATATTGTATAGATCTCATTATTAGATGTAGATACTTAAGCATAAGTTGAAACCTGAGCATGCAAAGGGAACTATAATAAAATATGGTGTGGTGCCATGACGTCATCGAAATATGGCGACGTCTAAGGAAAAAGGAATTTTGACAAGCTTAGACTTTGGAAATGTATAGAAATTAGGAAGTCTTCAGTTTAGAACAATTAACTTGTGAATTTTAAATCAAGATAAGTACAAGCAATACCCGTGATAAACTCGCACCCAGTAGTCTTATCTAGAATCCAGATATTTTAGGTTTTAATTCTCATGAAAAAGGCGGAAATGAACAAGTGTGAAGAGACTGAACTGATAATTAACCGAATTCTATTACAGAAACTTAACTTGTTTACTGTAACGACAGAAACGTCAATTCATCTAGCTCAAAGAAGTTGTTCATGTTAATATTATACAGTTTACTTTTATTTACGAGTACCTGTACTTATATTTGTGATCACCTATGTTTGTGTTTTTATCACTCACTCACATCAAAGAACCACACCTCAATTCGCCCTAGAGGGATAGCAGCAATTTCAATGTATTGACGTCACTGGGGGATTATGGGACCGTAGAATTTATTACTTTCGATTTTGACTTGACCAGATTTTTAATAAATTTTCTGTGATTTTTAAATCACTATCGTATCTGGCTAATACCAAAAGTAAAGCACTTAAAGAATACGACAACGTGATTAATTTCAATTTCTTTACATAAAATAACACTTTTTTCTTCGGTTAATATAATCGGTCTGTCGCATACACCCACCTAAGTAGGAGTAGGCCATCGCATGTTTTTATTGGTCGCGTAATACAATGCAGTCATTTGCAGCCTTCATAAAGGGTGAACCACATCAGTGGAAAATAGCCCCACATTTTAATAAATATTTTCATACTTTAATCAGTCTAGAATTTTTGTAGTTAGTGCATTAGAACAGGGAGAAGGGTGTGAATTTAAGCAGTAATAAATACCCATTTGAGTTTTGTGACGCACTACGGGTTGGGGTTAATTTACTAACAATTGTTTTTTTTTGTTGTTGTTTTTTTATATCAAAGCACTAATACTGACGGTCCACTGGGATTTTGCCCAGCGTATCTAGAAAAAAAATTTTGAGGCAGTTTTTAAAAAATGTAAGTAATTGCTAAATATTTAGAAGAAGATGCTTTTTGTCCGTACAATTCATGATTAATTAGAGTAATTAAAGTATTTAAGTACAAATTGACGATCCCGACTAGCTGGGGGTTGGGGGGTGGTACCAGCTGTATAAATAAACGATTATTGATAAACAGGCGGGGATGCGGACCGTACCGGGTGACACCATTTATAGGGGGAAGGGTGACACCAAGATAAAAAAAATGGCAAGTTTTATAGAATAAATGTTTTTTTTTTTTTACCAGTTCAATGAATGATTAATTTGAGTTTAAAAGTATTTTAAGTCCATAATTACGATACCGACAAGGGAAGAAGTGGGGGGGGGGGGGGTGGGAGGAGTGACACCGTGATGTAAACATGTAAACTATAGAGAAAACAATGCTACACAGCTGTTTTATTTTTTAAGCTTTTACCTGGAAAGGGGGGGGGGGTGACACCAAATGCAAAAATTAAGAGGGGGTGACACCATGAGGAGCCGCACAGGGTGACATCCGAGGGTGTGGGGAAATTGCGAGACGCGAAAAGCGAAATGGCGAGGCGGGAAAATGCGAGAATGTAATGCGAGACATACCTGCGGAATTAAGGGTAAATAGCGAGACACTTTTTGCGAAAAAGTTTTTTTTCTTTTTTTTTCCATCTTTATTTATTTAAATTATTTTTTTTTTGTTTTAAAATAAACAAGCATTTAGCCATACCCTTTAACACGAGTGTTGTATGTTGTTATTTTTTATCTAGATACTAAGAAGAAAGATAGATTTAAAAATCCTAACATCGTTGCTGTGCTACTGTCATCGCCCGCTCTTGTTAGCGAGATGAAAATCCCGTCTCAGTCGGCATTAATTTAAAAATCTAGCCCGCTCATGTTTATACAAACGTGAGCTGTGTCATTGTGAATTGGTATAATCTTGTCAGCAGGAGAGATATTTTGCAACATCTATTTATGGATTTTTGTACTTGCAAAAAGTGTAAAATATAAACTATTCTAAAAAGTGCAATTTATTTTTTATTAAGTAATTTTAATTACAAACAAAATTTACAAACAAAATCTTCTGAAACTGTCCTAGCACTACTCAAACACACCTCGTGACACCATCTTTCACACATAGTACACTCAACCCAGTTCATTAGACTCACATTTATACATTTCTCTTTGGCTACTTCTTCCAATCCACATTCACAAGATGTCACATTCTCATCACAGTTGACCTCCTCGTTCATCCCACACACAACACAGGCAACCATGTTCTCATCACCATCATCCGCACGCACAACATTTGTTTTCTGTTTTCTATAATTTGTATTTTTTATCATTTCTGTAATTTTGGCAATGTCTTGCTCATTGTTGTCACCAGCCGGATCAACGTCAGCGGGGCGTGGACGTTTACGCCCTGAATTTTTATCCTGTCGCTTCCTTGCAGCTTTTCTTAGTTGTGTTAGATTTATTGATTTCTTGTTGCTAACTGTTAATAATCCAACTGCCTGTCTGGCCGCCACGATGTGATAGCAGTTACCAACGGCCGGACAGGAGCATGTTTCCCTTGGAAAAAGGGTGACCACCCTGGGGTCTGTTGACCCTTGAATGGTGAATACACTAAGTTTAGTATTTAAACTGATCAGTTCATTGTCAATCACGAATTGTGCCCTTTCGGCAACAGTGGAGCAAACAGGCAAACAGTCCTTCCCTAAGGGTGCAGTAACTAAAACTGCTTTTTTTTTTTTTTAAACATCGATATTTTCCCAAAATCTTGTCTAATTTCGGTCAAAATAGAGTATTTTAATCAATTCCTATTACAATGTATTAAAACAGTTTTCTAAAACGCGAAAAAACGTCTAAAATTCGTTTTCTAACATTGCATTTTAAAATTAAAAGTGTGACTTCACATCTACCCCCCCTCCTCCCCCTCATCACACATCGTCATAAAATTACAGACCCCCTCCCTACGAGTGTGACGTCATTTATGGAAGACCCCAAATAACACCACCACCAAAACCTAAAAATTCAGATAAGTTCAACTTGGTTTTAAAAATATTTGAAGTAGGCCCATAGCTTACGATATAGCACGAGCAACTGATAATATCGGTGACGTCACTTTATTTTTTCCCCAAACAGTAAGTAAGAGAAAAAAAACTGGGGGCATTGAGAGTTCATAAAAGATTAGGAATAAGCAACACATAAGGGAGGGTTAATCTAGTCCTCACCTTCACATAGGGCAGTAATCTCATACTTAATTTGATGTTATTTTTTCTGACTTATTTATGGAAATAATAAATAATAAATTATATATATATATATATATATATATATATATATATATATATATATATATATATATATATATATATATATATATATAATTAATAAATAATAATATAACATTTATGGGAAAATTCGGAAAAGTCACAACCGTGATATAAAATCTAATATAAATTAGTGTAAAGGAACATTGGAAGAGAAAACACACAGTAAGTAGTTCTTACCTCCAGAATAGTTGTATCCAAACGATGTAGGCATTTCCTTGTGCTTAGATTTATATGGTAAAAAAAGCTAGAAAAAAATCGTAGGCGGCGGCTATAATACAAAATTTCTAAGCAACAATAGAAAATATGTTTGCGGCGGCAGCGGATCCGGGCACGGCGATCTTCAAAGACGGTAAATCAGGCGGCCTCGGCGTTCCACACAAAAGACAGAAGTTGATCTATCGTCGGCGGTATTTCCGTCGGTTTCGAAGAAGGTGGTATTCTAAGTCGACACAAAAGATGGGGGGAGTTGACAAATCATCAGTATGTCTAGCGACGGAAAAATCGGAAGTTTTAACAATGTAAACGAAACGTCTTAGAACGTCGGGTGCGGTAAATTTTTCGCAGAAATCTTCGCATTTCAACACCACCCAGCGTAAGTATCGGCTTGTGGTAAAATGCGAGACAAAAAGTCACGTGACCGACCGTTTTCGCGCCCTTCTCGCATTTTCCCGCCTCGCCTTTTCGCTTTTCGCGTCTCGCAATCTCCCCACACCCGACATCCGACCTAGCGACGCCACTGATAATTATGTTACTATTAACTTTGTACTATTTAAAGCTATCTTTAAAGCTGATACCAACTGCAACATTTATTTTCAATAAGTGATTAGTCAATCAATAACTGGGGTGGGCTGACACCACATCTAATAATTTGCTAGTAAATGGTGCTTTTTCAACTTGAATTATTGGTGGATTAAAATAATATGCTTGTGCTAAATCAGAGCCGGGTGTCCCCTATTGAAACTATATATATATATATATATATATATATATATATATATATATATATATATATATATAGCCAATACTTTTTTCCTTTGGTCGGGGGTGACACTATGAGTTTCCGCACGGCGTGACACCCGACTTAGCGACGCACTGCACCTGACCTAGATCTACATTTGCTTTCTAAAATTCTGTTCTCGACAGTTTTAAAAGACTTAGAAATCAGATTTATTTCTAGAATTTCTAGATCATAATTTTATATTGTTGCCACATCTAGATCTAGATCCAGATTCTAGATTTTATCATCATCCAATTAAATATTCCGAATCATTTTAATGTATGACTGTTTTTCGGAATATAATTTTTAATTTTGGAATTTAGAGGGTTCTTGGTTCTTATGTTAGATGTTGTCATCATTGGAAACAAAACTCAATGTGTGAGATTTAACATCAAAATGGCAATTGTTTTGGACGAACCAGGCACATTCGAAACATTATTAAATTGTGCTCTTTATGCTGGTGCCATTTTTCAACTTATTTGCATCTTCGCTGTAATTTTGATTCCAAACAATAAGGACGAAAAGGTAGATCTCTGATCTAGAATCTAGGATTCTAGGCTCGGTAAAATCACGATATAGCGTCGGAAATTATTGGGTAATGTTCGTTGAGTTTCGGTAACATTCGTTACTGTAAACCATAGTTTATTTGACCGGTGAAATAAAAATAGAGTCAAGTGCATTAAATTATTGTTTTAACTTAATTTAATGTTTAACTGACAAAAAATTAGCAACAATTAGTAAATCTAAATATTATTAATAAAGTCGAGTGTAGTAATTAATGTTTTTTTTAAGAAACAGAAAAAACCTGCAGAAGATTTGCGACAACCAGCTCTAGTTCTGTTAGTAGTAAATAATACGATTAGATTAACTAAAGTTAAAAGTAGTAAGAATAACTAGAATAATGTTTAGTAGCAGCAATAATTAGCACATGCACTTAAAATAATTAGAAATACAAAATAATTAGCAAAACAGTATTTAAAATGCAACTAAAATTAATCCTTGCACATTTTTAAACATAAGTTTTAAAAATAATATGGCGGCAAATAAATGATGGTTTACAGTATTTCCGGTGGTTTCCGGAACGGCTCGACAGACTACGCCATGGTTTTACTGTTTTTTACTGCTGTACAGTTCCGGAATAATAACCGACGCTATATCGTGATTTTACCCTAGGCTCTACTCTAACTAACTAAACTCTACCTATTTTTATTAAGATATCTATCTTTTTAGTACTTACTACTTAAGTACTTATCTAGTAATTTAGTATTCTAGTTACTAGACTTAAGACTACTACTTACTAGAGAGTAACTAGACTACTACTAGATTCTAGTAGATCTAGTTAAGTAGTAGGCCTAACTAATTTACTAGGCCTAATTAATAATTTTATTAATTAACTACAACTAGTCACTAGTCTACTACTAGACTAGGCACATTTTAAATTTTTTTTATTGGGTAAAAGAACAGTAAAACACCATTTTTTTTTAGTTTTAGCATATTTTATTCCCCGTTTATAATAAAAAAATACGGTCAACCGGAGGTGAACGTTAAGTCAAGTTAAGTGGGGAATAAAATATGCTAAATGCCATTTAGTAAATGGAGTTTTACCCCTTTATTTAACTGACTATTTCAGTAAGTTTTCAATTTCTTGTTGAGAGTTGCTGTAGAAATAATATTAATATGTGACCCCCCCCCCCCCCCCCCCCCGCAAAAATCAAAATGACATCACACCTCAGCCTACAGGCCCCTTCAAATTTGCTGTTACATTTTTTTTAAAACATCCTTATTTTTCCAAAATCTTGTCAGAACTCTGTCAACATAGAGTATTTTGATCAATTCCTAATTCCTATTACAATTTGTTAAAGTTAAAACCATGTTCTAAAACGTGAAATAAAGGCAAAAACTCGTTTTCTAGCATTGCTTTTTTATAATGCAAAAAAGTGACATCACACCATCTGAACCCCTTCCCCCTCATCACACACCATCACAAAATTACGGACCCCCTACGAGTGTAACACCATTTATGGACGACCCCCTATTATTTTTAGCCAGCTTTAGGTACAAAAAATCGTACGAGACTAGTAAAGAGAAAAAATACTTAAAAAAACCCACTGATGACTGACAAAAACGTGGGTTCGTTCACCATCAAATTTCCCGACCCATCTGCCCGACCCACGTTTTTTGTCAGTCATCACAAGAACCTGCACAGCTCGAGGAAGCACAAAAGAAAAAATTATTTTCTACTTTTTAGTCCACAAGAAAAACGTGGTTTTTTAAAAAGTTTTTTTTTAAGTATTTTATTTTCTCCTTTTTAGTCCGTTGCTACACATGATAAACGTGGTTTTTAAAAAGTTTTTTATATAGTTTATTTTCTACTTTATCTAATGACTTGATTAAGTATGACTTGACTAAGTGTTTATAAATACACGGACTAAAAATCTTGAGCGACCAATACGCTTTAAACAGAGAAAGGGCGAAATTTAATTAAGCCTACATGCCGTGACCAGGATTCGAACCTGGGTTGTCGCGGCCACAACGCGAAGTACTAACCACTATACGATCACGGCCAGCGCGCTCACATCGATTGGGGTCGAAGTAACTGTGTCAATAGGCCTCCAGTCTTGTCGGTATGTTTAGAAATCATGTCCTCGATTTTATGGTCCTTGGGGCGTAATTTAATTAAGCTAATTTAGGTCTCTAATTGCTAGTTTTTATGATTGCATCTGAAATTGTTAGGCGAAAATAGCCTGCATGCCGAATTTCAGATCTCTAGAGCAATCAGAAGTGGGCTAATTTTCGTTGTCAATTTTAACAACAAACACACAAACGCGAAGCTGAGTTAAGAAAAACGTGTTAAAAAAAAGGTGACTCATTAAATTTTAGGAATTATTTAACATTTTCTGGAGGATTTATGTTTTGAAAATTACAAAAAATCTTTCAAAGTTTCATTCATGTACCTATTTTTAAACAATTGTAATTTCTTATTGTATTAAAACTTTTCAGTAGTTAATAAAGTCTAGCAATGTTTTCATGAGATGCAATCCAAGCTCATTTACTTTAGCAGCCATCTTGTTGAAGTTTTTTCTGTAAAATTATTATTGAGATTCAGGGCAAATCACTCTAATTTACAGATGTCTGCTGTGTTTATATAGCAAAGCTTGCTCGCAAACACTCCTGTTTAAATTTAATTTCTGGCCTATATTGATATAATTAGCCATTCATTTTGGTTTATTATTCAGTTAGCAGTAGCCTATGAATATTTGACACAAATATATCACAATATACTTCTATATTAAATCTTTAACAATTAGGCAACTTTTCACATTACTAGGCTCAGCCGATTTTAGTTTTTTACACACCTAAAACTATAGATGATAGATTTCCACATAATTCAGTTATCTGTTGTATTTTTTGTATTTTTTATCAAGTATGTAGATTGTAAATCTAGAAAACTTATTACTTATTCTATAAATTTTTTTGTTATTAATAATTATTTTTGGTAACGATTAGGTGTCTCCTACATTTATTTACCTATAATTTATGTCTATTTCAATTATCAAAATTAATCAGTTGCCTAATAAATTACATTTGAATAAATCGCATTTGTTTTTAAATGGCTTCAATTACAATGCTATGACTGATACAGTGGGTTAGTTTTTAATGATTATTATTGTTACATAATAGACCATTCAGCGCAAATGTGCCATCTGCTATAGTATAGTTTTTTAAGTGTTACCTGTTGTCTGGATCAGTTTATTATTTCCACTAATTTTTTTTCTTCGGGTTCAGAAATATTTTTAATTATTAAAATATTCAAAGTTAGTTAATTATGGTAGGGCTTTTGATTTTCTATCAGTTACCATAGTTTTGAGAAAATAAAAAAATAATTTTATGCATCTAGACGTTAGTTCTTACAATATATTTTGCTACCTCGTATAGTTTTGAAATGACCCCTCAACTTTGTAAAAAAAAATGAAAAGATAAATTGGTCTTTTCTGGCAGCCATCATTACCAAGGCAACATGTTTAAAAACTAGGTCAAGTGACAACCTATAAATAGGCCTACTAAACTACCCTAAATAAATAATTATTGTGCATGTTGTACCAGTTTCCAATAATTCAATGCCAAACTATCATCATCTTTTCCTTTTTGTGCCCAAGTCACATGGGGCCACCAAAGAAAGCTCCCTCCACTTTTGTCTGTCACCTGCAATCACCTGCTTCCCTGCTGTGCGCCTCCACATCTCCCTTGGCTTTCCTTACTTTCTTTTTCTTGAAGCGTCCAGTTTAATGTCATATTTGCAATGTCTTCTGGATTAATTCTTAGGACATGCACCATCCTTCGCCATCTTCTTTTTTCAATTAATTTGGAAACCGCTTCCATTTCCATCTCTCCAAGTAATGTAATCTTCATAAAAAAGGAGTATTACGAAATACTGATCAAACTGTAATTTGCTAATGTGAACACTAACCCTTTGCCAAATCCAAAACCAAGTCCTACTATACTCTTATTCCTAATTTATGACCCTCACACTTAACCTGTTATTATCTAAATAGGGGTCATCCATTTATGACTTCCACATGGGGGGGGGTCTGAAAAAAATCGACTTTTGTGGGCAGGTGGGGGGAGTTTAGGGTCAGTGTGGACGAACACATGCGGAATTAAACTACAAAATACTTACAATTAATAACTTTTAAAATAAATTTTAAAAAATGCATATAAAATGTAGATTATACAGTTCTTGTGGTAAATGTATCAGATATTACTACATGCTTTGCAAGTTTATAATACATGCCACCTGTTAACTTCAGCAATTGATACAATTATTCATGATACTTTTTTCCATTTAGGATGTTGAGGTGGAACAAAAAAACCAAGCACCTGGAACTCAATCAGCCACCACTATCAAATCTCATCAATTAAGAAAGAAAGAGAGAAAAAAGCATAGATAAATCTATTATTGTTATTGTTGTAGAAAAATTCCTTACTTACAGTTTATATAAATTACATTTATCATAATATGCATGTATTTTTAAATTAAAAGAAAAAAATAATGAACCATAAACATTGTTGATTTAAAACGAATTTTTACGTAGTAACAATAATATTCACTAAAAATTAATTGTTTTATCATTAATATTGAAGCTAATAAACTTAGTATATACATTCCAAATTCCATGATGTAAATTTTTTCATGCAGGCTTACATTTTATTTAACTTTGTTGTTTTACATTAAGAACTTTGACATATGTCTGCATTAATAATAGTTAGAGAAAATAAATTTACATTTGTTTTTTTTTATCTTTCATCTTAATGATGGTTAGTTATCATCTGCAATTGTTTATGTTTTGTGTGAAAATGAATTAATCTAAGGAAACTTAATTTTCTTCTCAATTTTTGTAATTTCTTCATTTTAATTGTACTGACAGCTGGCCTGTATTTTATACTATCATTAGGAACTAATTTTAAATGCAAGAAGTACAAATAATGATTGATGTAAGCATAAGTAATGCTACCAGTACCAAATTTTACACTGTACCAGGGATAAATTTCTAAAATAACTAAATATAGTTATGTGCCATGTCTTAGCTGTACATTTCATTTTGCTACCTTTTGATACTAGTTACTACCATACTTATGTTTAGATGACTTTATCTAATATTGTCTTCAAATTGATGACACTCCCTAAAATATTGTTTGATAGACATGTTTTATGTTTATTATTGTTCTTCTGTTACTGAAATCTGATCTTGTGTCTGTATGTATTATAATATTATTAGCTTGTTTTATGCTTTTTTTCCCCCATATAAATGTATTTACTTTAGCTTAAATAAATATATACATATTTATCAACTTTTCTTTTTTACCAGTTATAGTTATATTTATATTCAAGTAAGGGATGGCTTGCTCACCCAAAAAGTCCTGAGTTTAAACTCAAGGGCAGATGAGTGTCGTTAGCTGGGGATACCAACTCGTCAAGGAGAGAAAAACTAGCACCTCTAAGTCTGGAGGAAACAACAGTTATAGCAGTTGGAGGCTATTGGTGAGCAGAATGCTCAATTCCTCACCACTCGCCCTACTATTAACTTAAGAAGCTGAAAATTTATTAAGTGTAAAAACATTATGAACATTGTGTGCTTCAGATAGTATTCCTAATGACAGAGATGATAATCCAGAAATGTTTCTTGTTGCTATGTTATTAACAGAGAAAACCTTGTACTTGCTAAACGCATTCCGCCTGTTCAAAATGAATTAGGCCTACACTAGATTTATACTTTAGTTGCAAAGAGAATCAACACATTCGGTGCCAAATGTGAATTGTGATGAAGGTCTCATAATTATTTTTTTACAAATGTAAAAATTTAAACCGATCTTTTTAAAGAACAGAACACACATATCACAATACACAGCACAAAGTACAACACAAGAGGTTATGCAAGAGGCAGAGGCGTACCCAGGTTTTCGGTGTAGGGGGAGCGAAAATAGCAAAAAAAAAGGCGCCGAATTTGTAATATCTTATATATATATATATATATATATATATATATATATATATATATATATATATATATATATCACACTACAACCAAAAACAATGAACGCAGCATAATCTGTTTCGTAACCCTTGTAAAAAAAAACTACATTATAATTCCTGGGATAAGCGAAAAGGGGAAATAATCAATATCTTAATATAAATATGTATATTCTACACATTTTATTATAAATATCAAAACAAATCAATAATTACTTATGAATCTAATAAAGTAGCTTAACATTATTTGTTTTTACAAAAGTGTTTTGTCTACAATCAGATCTAAATATATTGTCATCATAAATGCTAAAATATTACAGCATAATGAAAGTTTTTTAAATCAGAGTTGGTATAAAAACTAGCTTTACAAAGTAAAAGTAAAACAATCGGAATAATAGTCTACATACAACTAAAATATTGGTCTTCCATTACATATCATTCACTTTTTAATTAGCTACTGACTTTATGTGTTCTTTAAAGATAGTTTTTTAACATTATGAGAAGGTATGGGTTAGATCACTGCTCACACACCTTTTACTGGTAATTGCAAAAACAATATTCACAGAGCTATTCAATAGCTATGATTCTGGCGGCATGGTACTTTGGTACATCATTACGCGTTCCAAATGTACTTAACAGATCAATTCGTTGCGGGTTGGGAGGAGGGGTTCAACTTCATTCACCACTGTCCGGTCACTTTAGGTCAATTATCCAATCCAGCGTATACCAAGGTGTGACATTAATGTCGCTCTACACAATTGTGGTGGTGAGGTGGGGGTGGATAACCAACTCAGAGTGAACATAGCGTCAGTTTTTAGATGACTGTTCTAAACATAGGGGTCATCCATAAATGACGTCACGCTTTTTTGACGATTTTTACCTCCCCCTCCCATCCGTCACACGTCGTCCCAAAAAGCCAGACCTCTCCCCCCCCCCCCCCTAAAATGACATCACACCTCAGCCTACAAACCCCTCAAAATTGCAGTTAAATTTTTTAAACAGCTATATTTTCCCAAAATCTTGTCTGAACTCTGTCAAAATATAGTATTTTAATCAATTGTTATTACAATTTATTAAAACAGTTTTCTAAACGCAAAATAACGTCTAAACTTCGTTTTCTAACATTGCTTTTTTATAATGCAAAAGTGTGACGTCGCACCATCTGAACCCCCCCCCCTCCCCCTCATCACACACCGTCATAAAATTTCGGACCCCCTACGAGTGTGACGTCATTTATGGACGACCCCATACATATTCAATTACGCATGTATACTGATTCAAAAGTAGATTTAAATAAGTAGCGGATAATTAACTGTGCGATCAGTGTAAGTTTAAATTGAGTTGTTGTTTTATATATATATATATATATATAAAATATAGCATTGTTCAAATATAATATAGATCTAGATCTAGTAAACTAAAATAATTATTAATAGAAAGTTGATACTGTTTCATTTAATTTGTAATCGTAATCAAACTGTCATAATACTACCACTTCATCGTGATGATGTCGATGACCTTGTCAAAATTTCCCCACCGCTACGCAGTTCAACCATAAGTAAATTTAAATAGAGGTGCCACATTAGTTGTATTTGTGTCTGTATTGTAATTTTAAAAAATAAATTACACGATTTAAACTGTATATATAAAGTAATTATGATTGAAGTTTTACATGTAACATATTCTAATTCAATTATTCGTAAGCAAATACATTATACAGTTGCCTTAAACTTAACACCCCTCTTGCCAAGTGGTACTGCCTGTAGAGGTTTTTTAAACAGTGCAATGCATCGTAATGGTTATTTTTAGAATGACAAACTGATACAGCTGCTAATACGTGTTGTAAACGTTGACTCTACTAGTCTATTACTGTTATAATTAATTGCTGCATGAAATAAATCTTGTGATTTGCATAGATGTGCCGACCAAAGATAAGTTTTTAACAAATATCAATGTTTAAAACTTTGAGTTTAAAAAGTTTCCAAAAAGGCGCCACTTTGCTAAAAATGGCCAGAGGGGGAGCGGCCGCTCCCCCTGCTCCACCCCTGCGTACGCTACTGGCAAGAGGTTATTGTAAAATAAATTGGAACGAAATTATGTTGGTATTTAAATGTAACAGATATTAAGGGGAGCGAAGTACAGTACTACTGGAAATAAAGTAGCCTAGGGGTCGTCCATAAATGACGTCACACTCGGGGGGTCCGTAATTTTGTGACGGTGTATGATGAGGGGTGGGGGGGGGGGGTTCAGATGGTGTGACGTCACACTTTTGCATTATAAAAAAAGCAATGTTAGAAAACAAGTTTTAGTCGTTATTTCGCGTTTTAGAAAACGGTTTTAATAAATTGTAATACTAATAGCAATTGATTCAAATACTCTATGTTGACAGAGTGCAGAAAAAGATTTGGGAAAAATATCGATTTAAAAAAAATAATTCAACAGCAATTTTGAGAGGGGTTGTAGGCTGAGGTGTGACGTCGTTTTAGGGGGGGGGGGGGTCTGGCTTTTTGTGACGGGGGGGGGGGGGGCAGGTAAAAATCGTCCAAAAAAGCGTGACGTCATTTATGGACGACCCCCTACTAGTCCAGTCGCATGGACCCGATTGTCTACTTTTTAAGGACATCTTTTGTCTCGTTTCTTCCCTCTTCAATTGAACTTTCCGCCTTTTGAACGTAGGCGATACTGGCGGCCGTTGACTTCATTCTTCGATGGCTGTCTAGAGAAAAGCTTTGCAGTAACCCACATTTTGCGATATTAGTATTCTTATGTTTGTCGGCCTTATGGGCTCTCAGTCTTGTTATGGTCTTCCTTTTGGCTGTTGGTCTTATCGTCTGTCGGCCTTATGACGTATTGTATGTCGGTTTTTTGTCCATGTCGGCTTTTTGTCTTGTCGGCCTTGAATGCCTGCCTTTTGTCCTACACCCCATTTATTTCGTGTTCATTTAGTGCGCAATTATCTTTGTCATGCAACTTCATTTTATTACAATTTTTAAGATACTTAAAAAATGCATAAAACGTTTTAATAACAAGCTTTTAACATTTATAGAATTCACTAAAAAGAAAATAAATGATTTTTCTCTAAACAATATACTATAATAATGAAATAATTTTTAAATAACTAAAGAAAAAAGCGTGGATCCTTCTAAAATTCTAGATTCAAGGGGCAGATGAAGTAGAGTTCATCTGCTTCAGAGACCTCGTCGTATGAAGAGATAAGTATGGTCAGCTATATACACAGCCTTTTTTTTCCCCCCATAACTTGAGCTGGGTGGACTCAGTGTCATTCTACTGATTACAAGTTTAGGTCTCTACCGCTACCTCATCCCTTTATTATTATATTTTTTAAAGAAAATCATGTATATCCTCCTTTTTATATCGCTTTTATGCGTTAAAAAATGCGAACTATTGCTCTCATCAGTTTGCCTTGTGATTTTATTTAAAACAACTTTTTTTGATAATTTTTTTTACTACGAGCCGACCCGCTGCGTATCATACGCCGCTATTTAGTTGTTTTTTTCTACTTTTCAGTAATTTATAATTTGTGAATTCGACAGTACCAATGCTGCCATTGAAAATATTTGCTTAAAAACACTACCCCCCCCCCCCCCCCCCCCCCCCCACGTGAAAGCAGCCTCCTCTTAGTTACCTCCTCTAAGTTTAAAATCGTTTCAAACTAAATTATCTGCCCCTAATAGCCGTCACCAAACCCGTCTCTGTGATTGTAAAATGTAAACAGAGTGAACACCGCTCACCAGATCATGTGGGGGTGGGGTGGGGGTGGTAGTGATAGTGATAGAGAGGAAGAGAGGGGACTGCAAAGGCGCGCTTGCAGCTTGTTTTCTAACTGATCCCAGAAGAGAATTATATATATAGATTTATATCTATAAAAGCAAAGTTTGGGTTGTTTGTTTGTTCCTCACGCTCAAATCGGGTACTTACAGGTAAGTTTCGTGGAAAATGATCTTAACAAAGTTTGCTGTTCACTCTCGGGAAATTAGAGCCATCTCAATAATAATCGAGTTCGAAATGACCGAAAGCTGACCTAGACTGACCACGGCCTTATATAAACTATACATTATTTAAACATGTTTGAATTAGAATTTAGATCGACGGAAGTTTGATATATGGTAAGGAGATAGCTCTGGTGCCGCAGGATCACCCCCCCCCCCCCCGAAGAAAGTCTACCGCCCCTCTCCCCTGAACGAAATGGAATTTATATTGAAAACATATACTTTTACCAGTGTGCACCCCCCCCCCCCCCCGGAAAATGTTGACCGCCCCCCCCCCCCCCAAATATCAAGTGCCCCTCCCCCGGGCAACGTAAAACAAGTCACATTTCGGATAAACATTAAGGTGGAATCTTAGTTATATGGTTATTTTAAGTTAGGTTTTAGTATTAGTGGTCATTCTGTGCATATTATTTAACATTTAATACGTACTGGTAGCTTTTTTTGTTTGTAGTAAATATAGAGCAGGGGGGGGGGGGTCTCCAAACTACGGACAGCGGGCCGGGAGTTCCTCTCATCCGGCCCTGGGAGATCTTTTTGTCCACGGAAAAAAATGTTTGTTGGAGGTGGCTGAGAAACTGTACCCTGAAAATTCAAAACAATTTAAGTATGTAGCTTTGGTACAAATATCATTATCCGTTATGTTGCAGAGATGGGTGAAAACATTGTGACTCAAATAGCGAAAAATGCAAGTAATAATAAATCACCAGCAAACTTTGTGTGTCGAATATATGAACATGTAAAAAAAGGCTATATATTTTTACAAGATACTATTCCGATAACTAATTATTATTTTTATATTTTAATTGTATCATCAGTGTTTCCTCCAGACTTTTATCTCCGGGGGGGGGGGGGGGCCTCTTGAAAAATTTCCGGGGGGGGGGGGCGGTTTACTGTTAAAAGTATATATTTTCTATATTAATTCCATTTTGTTCGGGGGGGGGGGGCGAAGTCGGTGTGCCCCCCCCCCCCCCCGAAGAGATGCCTGGAAGAAACTGTCTATCGTATGGGGATGCTGCTGGAAGAGGGAAAGCAACTAACAAGCGGTTTTCTGTTAAATGATTTGTCCCTGATGATTGGTAAATATTTGGAATTATTTTTAAGAAAACGTGATATTGAGGATTGGCAGGTGATGTGTGTATGTTAATTTTTAGAATCACAAGCTGTTTTGAGCGGGACATTATGTATTGCTCTTTAATTTGTCTTATAATATTTTGTAAACAAACAGTCTAAACATATGCTACATAGACTCTATGTACGTTAACATTTTGCACTTTACAATAATGCGATAATCATTAAATGGCTGGAGCAACGCCTAGCCGATAACGGCTAGTTTTTATATAATTTACTGAAAATGTATTTTTGTTTAAGGATTGGAGTAGTCATGGGTCCATGCGACCCTCGTACACGCATTGAACAGCCGTGCTTTTATTTAGGCTAGCCTAGTCTATATGAATCTTGCGCCATAGGCCTATGCCTATGCTGGGACCTAGATGATCTAGATCTCTATGTGTAGGGCCTTAAGATCTATCAAACAGACCGGAAGTTGTCGTTGAGGGGGTAGTAGACTTTGCAAACAAGCCCTTGACAATCATTGACAGTCAAAAAATGGTGTAGACCTAGAATCTAGATGAACCCCTCTTCTCTTTAATAACCTCAAGATTTTCATAATAGGTTACATAAAACATTTACATTGTTAAAATAATATTAAAATATAGATCTAGTATAGATCTACAATCTAGATCTAGACTAGATTTCTACACTCTTTTTTTCGGTTAATTTTAATATTAATTTAAGTTTAAGAGCCATGATAAAATAGGTGTGTACTGTCACAGTACTCAGTACTGTGTAGTGTTGTCGTTGGGTTGTAGATTAGATCTAGAATCTACTTGACTTGTTAATGATGTAATCATTGTAATGTTATATAGTAGAATAGTAGATCTAGTTGTAGGCCTATGTATTTACTACTAGATCTAGATCTATTTAGTTAACTACCAGTAACCTAACAGTAACACCCCTTTTTTAAAGAAGATTATCGGACACACCTGTGTAAAAATTCTCCTGAATAATAATATTCAATCAATAGGTCAACACAATAGGCCCTAGCTCTATAGTCTGTAGACACTGTAGTCTAGAATCTACTCTTAAGTTACACTAGAGTCTAGACTAATGGACTAGGACTAGCTGATTACATTCAATTTATAGATCTAGAGACAAACTCTATTCTCAAAGCCCAAACGTTATCAAAAGTAAGTTTAGTTTAGATTAACTTTAGTCTATAGATCTAGAGATTAAATCTAGAATCTGATCTAGGGTAATAATTCACGATATAGCGTTGGAAATTATCAGGTAATGTTGTTGAGTTTTGTAAACGTTTTGAATACTGTAAACCCATAGTTAATTTGACTGTTGAAACATAAATATTAAATAAAGCTGACTGTCTGAAATTAATGTTTAATTTGCAGAAAATTATTAGATCTAGATCTAAATACTAAATATTAATAATAAAGTTGAGTGTAGTAATTAGTTTTTTTAAGAAACACAGAAATAAAAACTTGCAGAAGATTTGTGATCACTAGATCTAGGCCTAGTAAAATAGAATGATTAGATCTACTAAAGTAGTAAGAAGGACTAGAACAATGTTTAGTAGCAGCAATAAATAGCACATTCACTTAAAATAATTAGAAATACAAAATGGATGATATTTCGAATAGTCCCTTTGAATCCCAGTCAGAACGTCCCCTCGGCGTGGCCTCCACCAACCAGTGGGCTTGTTGCATTGAGTTAAATATAAGCTCAAAACAATAATATAAACAATCTCCTTTCAGTCGGTCAGGCCACATACCACTCACGTTAAGGAAAGTATAGGGTATATTTTTCTCTTTTTACGGTATATAAAAATAAAAGTTGGATGAGTTTTTTTTAACACCGTTCATCCCAGTGCCATTAAACTTTGTGGAGTTGATGAGAATACTTGGAAGGTTTCTGTGAGAAAAAAATTAAATTTCGCAGGGGCGGCATCACAGCTGGGCCTTCCTGTGCGTACTATGGTGCCAACATTTGTTTTAAAATAACGCGATAGACTAAGGGTAAGATGGGGTGTTATGGTCGTTCACTAAATTGAATCGAGCATTCTCCGGCGCCCCAGCAGGATGCAATTTGGCACCTCGTTAATTCCTGTGAGCGCTATAGCACTTTCGTTCATTTTAAACAGTGAAAATACCTATGCATAAGATGGGATATTAGAATCATTCACTAAAAATAATCAGGCGCGTGCCCTGGCAGGGTGCTATTTGGCACCTTGTATTATCCTGTGAGCACCATTGCGCCTATGTTAGTTTTAAGGAGGCAGGGGCAGTAACTGGCGCCCCTGCTGTAGTTGTAATCAGAGAACCTCTCTACGTCCATGACACCTGGATGGTCACCAAACTGTGTTCTTCCTCACTATTACGTTGAGTACACTCAATGCTTTCATGCTGTAGTGTAGGTAAACCCGTGCCCCAATAAATATGATCCAAGCACAGGCATTGTTTACATTTAAATAACTTAGCTTTAGCAAACAAGGTCACACATCAGATTGGTAACACATTGGTAACACATTGATGTAACCCTTCTTATATATTTCGTCAGAGGATGGGCATGCTAGTTCTAAATAAGCTTGAGTTTAATACCCAAAGTAGAGCATCTAATCTAGATTCCTAGAGATTCAGAGTTATTCTAGACTGTAGACATTGGATCAGATTATTATTACTCTTTTTTTTGAGTGAGACTCTAAAAATTTATAGACTCAAGAGAGAGTGTTTAAACTCTACTACTTTTAAAAATTTGAGTAGCAGTTAAAAGCAGTACAATATTTTCATCTAGAGGATTTTTGTTTAACAGATTTATAGAAGTTATGTTTTTCCTAAATGGATTTCTTTTAAATTATTATAAATTTTTTAAAAATCTTGTATCGTGTTGTAAAATATAAATTTACTTTTTATTTTGAAGCATTTTCACCTCAATAAATCACCACAAAAATGAGTACAGCAGAAGAGGGCCTCATGGCTCTGCTTGAGGCCATGTTAACACTGGCAGCCAGAGACCATGTACGGAGACCTAAAACAAATGTTAAACCTGGAGGTTATCCTGAGGAACATTTTATTGATCTATCTGAGGATGAAAGAGATGAATTTTCCTGTAATATTTGGTATGTATTTTTAGATTTTATTTGATTTTTAAAAAAGTTTTTAGAACACAAAAATTCATATTTATGTTAAACCTACATTTGTTTACATCTAAGAAATATTCATTAGCTTTTACTGTAAGTGTAAAATTGTACCCTTGGAGAATTGTTTAATTAGTTGGCAGTTTAAAGTCTCATGGACATTTTATTGTTATTAAGATGTAACTGATTTTATTTGCCTTAATTTTTATTTTTTTAATTTTTACCTTAGATTTTATAATTACACTCACATTTTTTTAGAAAAAGAATAATTTCTTTTGTAAATTTTACACTTGAATGAATGTCAGTTCATCTTTTGATCAAATTGCACAAAACTAATATAAAGTTTTGTTTTTTCAATCAACAGTTACCAAGTTCTAAAAGAAACCATGCAGTGTGCAAATAATCATAAGTTTTGTCACTCGTGTTTGCTTGTGTGGTCCACAACTGGTCAGTATGCTAACCGGATTCGCTGTCCTGTATGTCGAACTCATGGTTACTATTTTCGTAACAATGAAGTTGATGATCGCATTGGTGCTAAAAAAGTCAAATGTCTCCTGGAATCATGCAGCTGGTCAGGGCTGTTGAAATGTCTCTGTTCTCATCGCCACACTACATACAGTGATGGCCATTCACCTGCTAATGATGATTCAACCAGTACACCAACAATTATGCCTCGTCTATCTCAGGCCTCACCTCACATTCCAATAAGCAGTACTTCTAGGTTTTCTGGTACTGGCCTTTCAACTCAAGGGAGCTCTGGTTTAAGTTTGGTGAGGGCGCCAAGATTTTCACGAGTTGGTAGCCATTATCTTTCCAGAGAAAGTCCAAGTCCTCTCAGTAGTTCAAGTCAGGAGACAGTTGTAGAGCTTCCAAGACAGTCTAACATTTCCAGATCCATTCATAGACCTCTACTACGTAGAATTCCTGATGTTCGCTCGTCCAACAACAGAATTATTTTCAGCCACACCGGACCAAATACAGATAGTAATAATAATATAGAGGATACGTCACCCCCACTTTCAGATAGATCAAACCTAGCAGATGTATCGGATACCATGATGCCTGTTAGTAGTACTCACACACCTAGGCCACCCACTGGTCCAAGAACAGCGACAAGCACAGCTAGTAACAGACGCCTTCCTAGAATAATTAACCCACCCCCAAGTCGCCGCCAGCATTCTGAACCTCAGGCTGCTTACAACCCCAGGCCCAGACCAGCAGCAGAAAACCTAGGGGAAATTCGGAATCGTCTTCAGGAAAGTCGAAGCAGATTGGATAACTTAATGACATCTTTTTCAGGGGAGCTTGACCGTAGTCGACAGGAAATGGCAGAGTTCCACCAGGAAAGAGAACGTCAGCGTAGGGAACAACTTGAGGAAGTCAGAGAACTGGGTCAAAGATTAGGTCAAGTGGCTTCTGAGCTCAGGCGCCTATTGGAACACCGTCGCTATATTACAAGTTTCAGTGATGATGAAATAGATGATGATGATGATGATGAGTGATGGAGGAAACTTTAATCTCTCAGCTATTTTTTTCTTAAAAGAAATTGCTCAAGAATATAAATGTTATTTTATTAATGTTTCTCTAGAAAAATTATTTGTTGTATTAACAGCTAAAAAAAAATTACATCATCATTTGACCAGAAACTCTGAAGTTTTATTTTGAAGAATCATTTTCACCCAATATCTTTATTTCAACCTAATTTTCCATGCTAAAGCTGAAGAGGGTTGTATTTGATAAATATATAGAAGTAATATTCTGTTGCTTTCCAGTTTTGATAGGGCAAATACAAGTAATAAAAGCATAATTTTGTTATGACAGTTTCATTTAATAAATGGTGGTTTTAAAATCTTAAGTTTGCTTTAGTTTAGTTTTTGTTCTGAATTGGAGAAAGCAATGTTTTTGCTTTTTTACTTTATTAAAATTTCATTTTAACATATCACAAATATTTGAAAATAAAAAAAAGTGTTGAGAAAATGTATACATTTTGTATACATAATTTAAGGTTACATATTAAACCTTTGAGTTATATACCAGTATTTATTTTTCTGTGATATTTTTTTTTGTAGAATTTTGACTTTATCAAAAAATATTTATAAATTGTGTGATATTTTTTGTATTACCACTTTAATTAAGTATGTGATTACATTATTCTATATGCACCCTTATTTTTACTAGTACTATACTACACTTTTTTCTGGGAGAGAGAGTAATACTAATAGCAAATACTAATAGCTTCGTGTTTTGTGTTGTAGAATAATAATGGCAGACGCTGAAGATAAAATCAGCATTATTTTTCTTTTACTTTTGTTCTAGTCAAAAAGTTCTTAAAAGATAACTTTAATCACTTTTACAAAATATTTTTCAAGCTAATTTACCTTACAAAACAAGGGATTTAATATTTGTTTAAACATACAAAAATAGACCTAAAAATCTTAGTTATTAATATTTTATTCCAATCTAATTTATGAATTTTGTTGTGTAAATATATATTAATGTTTAAATGCTAGCATGTTGAGTTGATACATTGTGGCATCATTGTTGCATGCCCAAGTTTATTTCAACTTATTTGTTTACCTATTTTTTACATAACTATAAATGCTATAAAATCTTGACAGTTATGTAATCTTTTGCATTTCTTCTAAAAGTTTCTATACATATTTCTTTAACATTATACTTTTGACATATACTATAAGCATGTATAGAGAAAAAAAACTAGTTATATGAAAACAATTTTTCCATGGAACATGTATACTTACTTGCTGAGTTTTTTCCAGACATGTTTAGTATAGACCTACATGTCACAGGTGTCAGCAAAATTTAAATTTTAATGTAAAACCGTTTACACAAGGTAGCTAGATTTTATAAAGTGAACTGACTGTTTGATTTATAAACAGTCTTTAAATTTAAAAACTATTTGAAAGTGCTTTCATTGTATTATAGTTCAAAAATATATTTGTAAATTGAGGTACCTTAAAAATTTGCTCTTAGTTGCAAACCCCTCATTCACTAGCTCTGTGTACCAACTTTTTTTAAAGACACAAGATTTCACTTAAGGTATTTTTACAAAAGACATTTCATAACATATCAAATAAGTTTTTTAAAGGAGTTCTGATTTATGCTCATCCACTTCAACATCTAAGAGGACTAGTATGATTAAAGTTATGATTCTTGCTTGTTCTGAAGTTGCTCAGTCTAGTATGTCACAGCTTTTTCTGTCATCATATTCATATCATGTTTGCCATGTATACCTTTAGAAAAGTAGAATAAATTATAGTGTTACTAATATTAGACTTCTTAAAGATATGATTGTATTACGCCTTGGTAGTTTAACTGTTTAATTTCAAAATTGCAGTAATTGTGTGTTAATATTTAAATAAAGCAAGTCCTCTTAAAATGTTGACCTTGCTTAAAAGTTTTTTCCTGTTTGTCAAATAAAAATATAAAGCGATTTGTGAATTTATATGGTCAAGTAAGGCCTCATTAGTGACTGTCTTTGGTAAAATAGACATGATAATTGGCAATCTGAGGTTGGTATTGTACACAACAGCAATTGTGTTTACTTTGTATCATGTCATACTAGTAATTTTCAAAATAGTATCAGTAGAAGACGCATGTAAAAATTACTGGCTGTTTAAAATCTATTGATTACCTCAACACCATTAGTAGTTTCACCATTTATTTTTCAGGTATAATTTTAAAATGAAGTTGAAAGTTAAAAAAAACATTTTTCTACGATATTCAAGATTGATTTTAGTTCCTGCTATTGCTAAGTGTTGTAAATATTGCCATCACAAAAGTGTGTTGATTCCTGTCCACACATATATAACATAGTCTGTTTCTTTTTATTTACCAACAAGAAATGACAACTCTATAGTGGATTATCCCATAAAAAAAGTATTCACAAAGTAATACATCATTCTCTGGATATACATTTAAATTAATGTCTGTTTACCAACTACTTGTCTGTGCTTTTAAGAAGCCGGTGCGACAATGAAAATAATTTTGCAAGTCAAACCTTGTAAATGTGAATGTTATATTTTGTAAATAAAAGAAATGAATAAAAAAATAAATAAATTGCTTTTTATTATATTAGGGCCAGTTGCATAACAATGGGAGTCAACCTAAAAATGAAATGTACACATTTTTATAATTAAAAAATTTCCTATATTTACATCATTTCAGATCTGTAGATTTCCCTCTGTTTTATAAATCTCATGCCAAATTTTAAAAAATACTTATACAATGAACTCAATAAAGAAAACTAAATATAAATTAACTTAACTTAGACATTACTTGAGCAGATTCATATTGAAAGAGAACATCCAAATCAAGATAATTTAATAGTCTGCATGCCTTATTAAATACAATTTAAGTACATCCACATTTTAATTAAAACAGGTTTTTTTAAAACTAATTTTTATAATTTTCTAATTGACCTGTTGAACAATGTGCAGTTCTAATCCAGGAATGTTAAAGGTATACATTGTAAAACAGGATCTAAAAGATACTAATTTAATAAATGTCAAATGGAATACACTTTTTAAAAGTATGCCAAGATGAAAATAAAGAAAAAGAACTACTGGAAATATACACATATTATGACCAAAATTTTATTGCCAAAAAAAAAACCCACATGAGTTAAGAATGTTTTTAATTTTTATAAAACTAATTTTAAATGGAGAACAATTTTAAGATTTGAGAGACATCAAAAAAGGAAATCAGTTCTATACTTTTTATAATCTTGTGCAGTTAATTTACATCATTGTTTAACAATATAATTACCTATACTATAAAATTTTAACTTTTAAGAAAATTTGATGCCTACCCAGTTGTCCTTTTAAAAAATTTATTTTTAAAGAACACATGGAACTGTTAGCTAAGGACCTAACTTTCCAGCTTTAGTTGGAATGAAATTAAACTTATTGAATTAAAAATGCTGTATACAATTATATTCCAAACTATACATTTTGTTTACAATTGCGAAGAGGATATTTAGCTTGAAACTAAACACAGCACCCTTAATTGCTAAAATAAATATTAAGTGGAAAAAATGCTTAGTTAAAAGCTTAAATTTATTTGTTAAAAGTTTAGTCTTTTGACTGAAAAAAAATACATGTAAAAACATTTTTTATTTTAACAAAAAAGTATGTTTACAACAATCACAATGATTATTTTGTAAATTAGTTTTTGATTGAAAGTTGTGAATGAATAACTAGTTCAGGAGTTGCATGGCTCAAGAACGCTTTTCAGTGGCTTGGTCATATTTGACAAATTACTTTATTTTTTTAAACGCAAAATCACTTACAGTATGTTGTATTATGGCAATGAATATTAGAATATAATGTTTTTATGAAAATCATATGACACTGGAATGCAAGCATTGTCATTGTCAATGTAACAAATCCAAAGAAAACCACTTGGATTAAAAATGGAATGTAAAACAAACTTGAATATAATGGATATTTTAAATACAACATAAATTACAGGCATGGAACTTGCAGTAGGCCTACATGAAGAAAATAATATCCCAAAAAATGCTTATTATCATATTTTTAACACATGCAGTCTGATATTTTTAAATTTGATATTTAGTTTAGAATTCTAAATCTGCATGAAATTGGCATTTAAAACGATCAAAAATATTATTGAAAAGTAAACAAAACAAAGCATTTTTTTTTTACAATGTTATTCCACTCTGTTCAACAAGAAGAAATGTATTTATAATTTGGAAAGCTATTTACACATGTATACAATGGAATGTCAGGTTTGTACATAGATAGCTTATTTAATAAAAATACAAAACCATTGTACATCTACATTGAAATGAAAGAAATATCTGTTTACGGTAGATTTGACTTTGAACTATACATAACTCAAAATCTGATTGAAACAAAAACAATCTAATCTAAGATAAATGTTTATAAAAAATTCAACTAAGTAGTCAAGGCTGTACATATGTGAAAGGTAATAAAAGTTTCAATATCAGCAATAAATAATGCTTTCTAAGGCAACGTTCTTATAAAAATATTAGGAATATAACTGGAATGTAACACAAAGCCTAATCAGTTAAATAATGAGCAAGACTATATATATATGATTATGATAAAAGACAGCCTCAGCTTTTGTAGTGGGCTTTTCGTTGAAAACGTTTGCACAGTTGAGGTAAATAAACACATGAGGAATGTAACACAGTATTTTATAAAGTGGACACACCTTAACTCTGTAAAGCCCATTTCAACATTCACTTTTCAACAAGAATATTCTGTCAGTAAACACTAACATCCTTGAAATATGTTCCAACTTGCATAACTGCTGCTCATAAGAATATTGTTTTAGTTCAATATCTACAACCAGAATTAAGAAATTAAATGTCAGTTTCTTCTCCTTTAATATGAACACGTTTCCCACCAGGGTTCATGCTAACTTTCCTTGTTGAAGTTGTAGAAGATTCACTGTCTAACGAGTCACTAGTACGGTCAGTGCGGTCACTACGATGACTGCGGGCACCTGTGGATCGTGACCGCCGACCACTACTACGGCTTCTACTGCTTCTGTCATCTATAAAAACATCAGCATACATTCTCCCACCTTTTGGTGGCTTTTTGTCTTCAGAGTGGGATCTTTTGCCTCGCACAGACCCATGACCACCAGAGGATCCTGATCTGTGAGAGCGTGTGCCAGACCGTGATCTTTTACGCTCAAGTACAGGCTTGTGTTTGACATTTGGGTGTTCTTTACCTGTTTGACTGTATCCATGTATCATGGCATTCGCATCCATCGATGAACCTTCTGTTGATGTTTGGGATCTGTTGGGAGAGTGTGTGCGAGTTTTTAAAATTCCATTAGGCTGAGAGTTAACTTTACTCATTTCTATATCTGTTGGTTTCTTTAAGGCTGATTTCAACTGCTTTTTTGGAGCAGTATCATGAGCATCCTTTCGTGATTGTCTCTGAGAGCCTCTTCTAGTGAAACCCTCTTCTCTGTCATAAGTTACATCCTCCTCGTACGCCTTGTTTGCGAATCCGGCCTTGCCGCCCTGTCGCCTGACCGATGCCGGTCGCTGAGACCTCTTCTCGTCGGGTCCCTCGGTGTAGGCATTGTTTTTGTAGGCTCCATTCGCCTGGTCCTGCGAGGAGCTTGTACTTCTGATGTCCTCCATTGAGCCATACTTTCCTCCCTTTTGATGTCTACTTGAATGGTTGGGGATGATGGCTTGTGAGGTTCCTTAAAAATGAAATTCAATATAAGCTAGGATATTAGATCAACTTATTATTTTATGACTATATTATAAGTAATTTATTTTAGTTTTTTTCTTAAATGAATAAAAAAAAGAAATAAAATTTCTATCAAACACTGAGATTAAGAACTATGGTAAAACTGGTTAATTAATAATTTTTTGGTGCCATTTTAAGTAAGTATAAAAGTAAAAACACTCTAAAACAAGAAAATAAACTATTAGCTATGGACAAATGTTTTAGATTTTCCTTATATTTAATTTTAAACATCAAATACCTGTATACCTATGTAAAAGCAGAAAATATTTTAAATTCTAAGTGTGTTAGAACTAAAACAATTACAAAGACAAGATGATAGATTTATATCCTTGAATAAAAGGAGAACAAACTGTTAGCTTCAGAGTGTAAAGAAAAAAACTGGAAAGCAACAATGAAACTGATAGTATCTATAAGTAGAGATACAACAAGACAGATAATCACATAATGGTGATGAGAATTATTTACTGAAGTGGGAAGCTCAACTCTACCAGATGTGTACACGCTTGACTCCCCTTTTGTGCTGCTGGCACCATCTTTATCCTGATTTGCATTTCTACCACGAATGCAGAGCCATATGGCTATCAGAATGAGGGCGATAACCAAAATAGCTCCAGCTACACCAATCCCAGCAATAACTCCTGGCTCAAGTGTTTCACCAGCATATTGAGCGGCTGTGTTCTCAAACTCCAGGGTGGGGCCTTAAATTTTTTGTACAGAAAACTAAAGTTAATATAAATATTTATATATAACACAAGATGAATTATGCTGAACATCATTTTTCTACCCCATGCATTATAAATAGCAATAAGATACTTTTGCTTTTAAAAAATTGAGAAGGTTTGGTATAGTCTGATAATAACTTCGAGAAGATAAAGATTTTAAACTTCAATAATTTTCAATACGACTAAAATAACCATTTTTTCACTTTATCCTTTTTTTTAAAATGTCGGCCATGCAAAAACCTATATTTTCTTAAAATGTCATGCTCACCCCTCTCTCATTTTAGCATAAGTCAAGTTGAACAGCAGTTCACATGACATGCTATCTGCAAGATTTTACCATTTTAAATACTTGGCAAGAGAGAGAGGCATTGCTAAGTGGGTCCTAAGACCTTATTTAGCATTTAACATGCATTTCTTACCTTACCTCCTGCTCTTTTATACCCAACATATTTGGCAAATAAACTACAAATAAGTACAACAAACACTAAATTCGCAGAATTCGCAAACAAAAATGCTATTCCAAGTGTAGTCTATTCAAATGACCACGGAAGATCATTGTAAATAACGAAAAATTAGGCTTGGTCTTTTTCGGCGGACATCGTTTTTAAAAAGTATGTCAAGTGACACGCTTGATTAAGAGCATTTTGTAACCATTTCATAATTACCAACAATTATCAAATTTAATTAAATTTTTATATCAATTTTTAAAAATTGTTTTTACACCTTAGTTTTTACACATGTAGTAACATTCCTGCATATAAACATAAAAATATAGGCATGTATTCATGTAAGAATTTTAAAATAAGACTGAAATAGTGTTTGACATGATTATGAGATTCAGCTATTGAGTTATCAAATCAGGTGTTTTTTTTTACTTTTATCACCTAGGATTAGTTTTAGTAGAATAGTGAGCGCTTGTTTTAATAACAAAATTATCATTTATTTTCAAAAAGATAATAGTCATTGTAAATTATTTGTTGGTAAAGTCATTTGGAAACAGTCAGTATCATAGAATATTCTGTATTGGAAATATAAATTTCATAAGACAACTTTGAAAGCTTTTCGGATAATTCAGTTTCAAATCCTAGGTAAATCATTTAGGATTTTAATGGGAGAAAAACCCCATTCTTCCTAATCCCCAGATGCAGACAGGGTCAAAATCTAGTAACTAATTAAAATGCATGGAGCAAATCTAACATGAAAACTATAATGATAGTGCTTTCATACTAGCTTTTTAACTATACTTAATGATCAAGAGCTTACCCAGATCATTCTTTAACTTCATGCTGAACTCAAACACTCTTGACTGAGGAGTAGTTTTTCTAACTCTGATCCGTAGCACATTAAACCTTGATTTGCCATAAATGGGAGCTCTGCTGTTGTCTGCACACCTTATTAAATGCTGTACAGTGAAAGGAATGACATGAAAAAATGACATTAGCATTTGAGTTTTGAAACAAAATGTTGCAATGCTTTGTTTTTTTGTGTGTATATTGATGTATTTAGAAGTTGATATTTTGACATTATCAAGTTACACACATTATTAGCATTCTAACAATCATAAGTGTTTGAGATTTCTTCAAACTATTTCAATTTTTTTGTTTTAATAAAATTAATTTCAATTTTCTACTAAACAAATAAAGACAGCTATTTCTGTTTGCTTATCAGCTGCTAATTTTTGCTGCACAAATACTAGTATTTATTTTTCCTTTATTTTAAACTGTTAATTTCTTCTTGTAATCACTATGTGATTAATTTATTCTTGTAGAAGACATTTTAAATTTTGAAATCCAAAACTTACAATTGTAACAAATAACATTCTGATCATATAAAGCCTCATTTCAACTTATTAGTTTAAAGATTAGCAATATTAAGCAATTTCCTTATTAATTGATAACATTTTTTTTAATAATAGCACTTAGACAAGTTTTTTGTTTGTCATATACATCTTTGGATGTTACTCACCAGAGGATTAGCATCAATAGTTGGATTGTCATAAATGTAAATCTCAATCCCACATTCATTAAACTTGATTATATCAATTAGATATTGGATCCTGCGATTACTATCTGCTCTAATGGTGACATCACAATGGTCACGGGTAGCCATTGCATTGTACTGTGGCAAAGCATATACAGTGGCCATATCATCCATATCTTGTAAATAATAACCATCAAGGTTATCACAGCCAGGTCCTGAGAGATCAACTGTAATGGGAAATAGGAAATTAAAAAGCTACTCTAATAAAATGAACAAAACAATAAAGCCAAATATTACTAATGTACTAATAGCAAAAATGATATCAGCAGCATCTCTAATCTTTAATTTTGGATATAAATAAATATATACAATACTTTTATCAAATTACAAACACGCTTGATTTATTAAATGAGAGAAACTAATAATACTTTCTCAAAGATTAAGCAATGCTTAACAAGAAAATTTAATCCACTTGTTTAAACAATTAAAAAACACCTAAATTACCATAGAACTACGCACCTAAATACTTTTTGGCAGCCCCTGCCACACAATATGTTGATACAGCCCAAACACACAACACAGCCAACATGTTTAATATGGCCATGGTGGAAGTTAGAGCATCAAATGTGAAAAGCAGCTAATTGATGGCAATCAAAGTTGCACATCATAGTCAACTTTTTAAAGTTATAATTTAAAAAAACTTTATCTTGTTCACATCCATATCTGTAAAAAAAAAAGTAATTATGATGAGGATATTAGAGTGGTAGATGTAGTAATTGTCAAATAATATTAAAATACTATAATAAAAAATGCATATACCACACACAGTGATAGAAACATGACATGTAGAGAAAAATAGAGAGAATTATTTTATTATAAAATTGTAAACAATGTGATTCAGGCATGAACATAACAAAATACAATGCTCAAAATCCTTAGGAAGACCACATAGCTACAAAGAAAAAAACCCTACACAATGTAGTTTGCTATCCAATTATTGAAGAGTTCCTTCTATTTGAATCAACACTAGACTACTAGGCTAACAGAAACCAGTCATGCATGACCTGTGGCACAGAAACTGCCTGGCTAGTGCTATAAAATATCTGCTGTGTACAAAGCCCTAACATTCTTTCCATTATGCCTGTTTCCTCCTTGTACAAAACATATTTGTGGTGACATGAAAAAGGTCACTGTTGCTGTGAAGGATTTTTCCCCTTGTGAAAAGTTTTACCACCAGGCTTACCACAGTACAAAATTTATTAAAAACATGTTGGAACTAAAAAAATAAATGACCTAATTTAAATTGCTCTGGCAAGGTTAGATTAAAAAAGTAGTTGGGAAATAAAGGGGAACCCCCAGCTTTTGCAACTACACTATAAATTTAATGTATTAATACATACACTAAAGTGTAGGCCTAATTACTAAGTAAACAGTCAATTATAAGAAATAATATTTACAGTGATGGTGTAAATAAATCTTAAGAATTATTAATTGAAAACAAAAACATTGTAAAAGCTGAAACAACTATTGCAGGTATAAATAAGTATCAGAGGAGAATACTTGATGTATAAATAAATACTGTATACAAACTAAACAGAGTACCTCAGTGTTAAGGCATGTACATTACCATATTGAATGGATTGTTTTTATTCTGCATTGGATTGCTTTAGTTAATAAGATTATGCATTACAAAGTTCAAATCATGTAATGGAGCTGTTGTTAACAATTCTATTATCCTCTATAATAATATAGGAGATAAAAGAATTGTTGCATTATTATTAAAAATACAAACCTAATGCACAACATGATACAGCTTTTTTAAATAACCGTAGCCATTGTTAATGAAGATAACTTCTAAAGGTGAAATGAAAAATGATCATGGTAAAACAGTGTATTAAGATGCAGATTTAAGGATCTGACATTTTCCTGAACATCTGCACAGATTTAAAATTAAAGTAACAATATTTAGAATGACATATTTAGAAAACACATATTTACACTAAGCACCAAGCTGCTTATCAGATATTAGTTTTAATGTTCTGACTCAGATTCAGAACAATAGTTTTAACAATTTTTTTCCATTTACAATTAATTTTTTATTCAAACAAATGTAGCAGTAATAAAATTTTAAAAATAGATGACTAGGCTGTATTAATATTTTATAGAAAGTAAGGCCATGGTGGAACAATGAGCAGCAGGTAAAGCTGTCATAAATAGTTTGAAAACTAACAGTAGATAAAGATAAAGAGATAGGCAGAAAAGTTTGAAGAGATTAAACAGATCAGACTCAGAAGAAGAGCTTTACTTTACAGACATGGGCTTACATTGAAATTACTAAAAGACCTATTCTTGAACAGGAAATAATATAAGCTATTAAAAAGACCAAAGCAACAAGGCCCCAGGAGAGAAGATGATCACTGCAGAAATGTTTAAAACTGATCTAACCACATGTGTACAAACACTAAAAGGCTTTTTAACAAAAATATAGGTGTACACAAAGTATGCAGATCATGAAAAAGAGGTATGTTAGTGACGTGGATTGTAATGACTGACGAGAAGCCGCGTTGGTTGTTAACAGTCTTTATTATGTACAGACGCCATGATGCAAAAGAGAGGAAGAAATGGCGAGAGAGAACTATTTATAGATAACAACATGTAAGGGACATCACTCAAGATAACAATATAAATATAATACTAATACAGAGAGTGAGTTCCCTTGATCTCACAATTAACTCAATCTATTACATCCCTTTACCCTTAGAACACAATAACACATCTCTCAATAGAACAATTGATAGTATCCTAAAATCACCAATTATATTGTAACATGAACACTATGGTAGATTACATCCTTACAAACAATGCACAATATGCTACAACATAATCAAGATACAAAACAATGATGTCAAAGTCCTTTTGACCTTTAGAATCATAGGTCTAACTTATTTGGGACTTTGATTGTCCTGCTTGACCTTCTCAGTGGCTTCTGATTTGGTGACTCAAGATTCTGACCATCTGGATTCTCTATCTCAGGAGGTCTAGGATTTAAATCATTAACTCCAGAATTTACATTTTCTGACTCTAGACAACTTGATTCACTCATATCAACAGAACTTGGTTGTGGAACAAACTGAGTTGGTGTGAACTGATCAGACTTGGTGGGATTGACAGATTCACACTTATTATCTGCACAAGTTATTTTTAACTTTATAAGGCACAGGTCCTGTACATTGAACAATTTGACCTGGTATCCATTTTTCCTTTTTCCCATAATTTCTTAGATACACATTCTCATTAACACCAAATTCTCTTTCAATGAATGTTTGTCATGATTTAATTTTTTAATTGGCATCTGAAAGTATTATGCTATTATTCAGATCCTTAACTGGCATAGATTTCTTTGATTGATCAATTTCCTCAGGTAATCTGATAGTGCTTTTTGGTAACCAAACATACTGTTTAAAAGTAATATCCTGGACAATATCACTTTGCAACTGTGATCCAGTATTTGAAGTGGGTGTATTCAATGGCAAAAATCTTTGCTCTTTTCTTTTGATGTTACCCTTTTAGTTTCTGTAAGTGCTAATGATGTAGCAAAGTTGTTTGATGATCACATTCCTTCTTACTAATGTATTCTCTTTAAAACATTTGAAATTGCCATATCACCATAATCATATATTAAGTTACAAATACTTTGTTTAGGCAACTCTGACTGATAATGGACTGCATCTTCTCCATCTTTTATATTATCTTCACAAAGGGTTTTAATTTCTTATTTAATATGGCCTTAAGTCATCATTCACAGACTCTTCAGGCCAACCATTCTTACAGTACTCATATATTTTTATTAAGCACTCATCTTTTTGTGTTTCTCTTTTAATATCATTCACATTTATATTGGAGTTATCCATGATAGTGAAGAGAACAAATACATCTTCTGGTACATAGCTCAGGCTTTGGTTTTTTTAAAGGTAATCTACTAAGACTATCTGCACTATTCTCAGATCCAGGTTTGTATCTCAATTCATAATTGTATGCAGTTAGTGTGATAGCCCATCTTTGAATTCTTGGTGAGGCATGCTCAGGTAGGGTTTTGTTTTCTCCAAATAAACCTAGCAATGGTTTATGATCTGTAAAGATAGTGAACTTCCTACCAAATAGAAACTTATGAAATTTCTTAACACCAAAAATGATGCCTAAGCCTTCCCTATCTAACTGAGAATAATTTTTCTCAGCCTGGTTCAAAGATCTACTGGCAAAAGCAATGGGTCTGTCACCCTTCTCATCCATGTGGGACAAGACTGCTCCTACACCATCTGGTGAAGCATCACATGTCAATACAAGTCTTTTCCCTGGGTCATAGTGAGTTAGTAAGGTGTCAGCAGACAAAGCCTCTTTTGCTGTGTTAAAAGCAGCTTCTTGTTGTTTACCCCAGTGCCAAGTTGCATTTTTCTGTAGCAGCTTGTACAGTGGTGATAGTTTACCAGACAGATTTCCTATGAACTTTGCATAGTAATTTATCAAGCCCAAAAAAGCTCTTAGTTGTTGGGTATTTTCAGGTTTGGGTGCTTCTTTAATGGCTTTTGTTTTCTCAGGTTGAGGTCTGATGCCTTGTTTGCTTAATATATAACCAAGAAAACTAATTTCTGTCAGCATGAATTGACATTTATCTTTGTTTATCTTTAAACCTTTTTCACCAACAATTTTCAATACTTTATCTAGTGTTTTAAGATGTTCAGTGTCATTCTTACCAGTTATGTACACATTGTCAAAGTACACACAAACATTTGGAATATCCTTAAAAATACTGTCCATGACAGCTTGGAACATTCCAGGGCTAGATGATATGCCAAAACATAGTCTTTCATATTGGTAGAGTCCTTTATGTGTGTTTATTGTCGTATAGACTTTTGAATCTGGATGCAGTTCTAGTTGAGTGTAAGCATGACTAAAGTCTAATTCAGTGAATTTGTCTCCTCCTGCCAAATTCAAAGAAATTTCCTCAATGTTAGGTATAGGGTACCTATTTAGCTCTATTTGCTTATTCAGTGTAGTTTTATAATCTCCACAAATTCTTATAGAACCATCCTTCTTTAACACTGGCACAATGGGTGTCGCCCAATCGGAATAGTCTACCTTCTTTATGATGCCATTAGATTCCAATCTACTTAGCTCATTTTCAATTTTATTCCTCATTGCATAAGGTGGAACTCTAGCTTTGCAGTATCTTGGATTTGTATCTTTAATGCTTAACTTCACTGTTCTATCATTTAGTAATCCAGAGTTACCAAAAACACATTTATTTTCAGATATTACTTTATCTAGTGAAGTAAGACTAGATTCTTTTACATTCTTCAATGAACAAATACTCTCCCAATTTAACTTAAGATCACTTAACCAGTTCCTACCTAGTAATGGCGGTCCATTTCCTTCAACCACAAGAAGAGGAAGTTTAACACTTTGACCATTATAACTTACATGAACCATACACTCTCCTATTACCGGAACATTGTCACCAGTGTATGTTGTTAGACACTTGTGACACGGCTGTAGAGACACTGATCCTCCTGTGACAGCGTCAAAATCTTTCTTTGTTATGACTGTTAGAGATGCTCCAGTGTCAAGTTGGAAGCTGATGCTCTTACCGTTGATATTAACTTGTACATTGATGGGAGCATGACTTATTGATTTAACAGAGAACAGGTTGAAATCCGGCTGCGAATCAGTTTGAGAATTTTCACAGGTAGAGTGGTTCATCGGTTGGGTTAGGTAGTCTTGGTGAGAGTTAACATAGTGCTGCCCTTGGTTGCGGTACTGTCTTGACTGGCTAGATTTAGCAACAGACGAAGACTTTGCAAAGCAGGCCTTGGCAATGTGACCTTGCTTACCGCACTTATAACAAGTTGCTAACTTGAACTTGCACCGATGAGGTGCATGGGGACCTTTGCATCGATGACATTTTTGATAATTATTACTAGATTTAGATCTAGGATTTGAACGAGCAGGCTGTTTAGCATAAGTTGGAATGCTCTGTTGGGGTTGATGTTTATTGACTAACCTGCTGTTTACTGCATGGATCTCTGAAGGTGCTAAAGATCTCGCCGCATCTGATGACTGCTGGAATGACATTGCAAGTTGTATTGCTTTTTCCAATTTTAGATCTGACTCGAGCAGCAACTTTCTTTGAATATCAGGGCTGTTTACACCTGTCACAAACTTTTCACATAGTCTGTCAGACAGCGTATCGCCGAATTCACAAAATTCACTTAAATGACGTAAAGCAGCAACATATTCTGTTATTGACTCGTTTGGTTGACGAGTCCTACTGTCAAATCTAGCTCGACATAGAAACTTTGATGGGGTAGGCGCATGGTGGTCTGTTAGCAATTTGCTCAGCTCGTTAAAGCTCTTGGTAGTTAGACTAGCTGGTGCGCATAAGTCTTTTAGTAGCCTAAATTGTTGAGGCCCTATGACTGTTAACAAAACAGCTCTCTTTTTGGCTTCTATCGTCACGTCGTTTGCTTCTAGGTAAAAGCTTAACCTCTCTAGGTAATCTTGAATGATTTCATCATTCGCATCAAATTCTTTTATTTGGCCATACAGCGCCATAATTCTAGAAATAATTAGCTAATAAGCTCTAGCAAACCTCTTTTTTGCGTAAGTAGGTGCTCTTTCTAGTAGATGTTTATCCTTCGTCGCCAAATGACGTGGATTGTAATGACTGACGAGAAGCCGCGTTGGTTGTTAACAGTCTTTATTATGTACAGACGCCATGATGCAAAAGAGAGGAAGAAATGGCGAGAGAGAACTATTTATAGATAACAACATGTAAGGGACATCACTCAAGATAACAATATAAATATAATACTAATACAGAGAGTGAGTTCCCTTGATCTCACAATTAACTCAATCTATTACAGTTAGAATACCCAAAAAAGGCAGCCTGACTTCAAGTAAAAATTGAAGAGGAATTAATTTTCTGTCAGTGCCATGAAAAATCAACTGTTGAGTCTTGCTGATGAAGATGTGTAAAAAAATAGATGGAATGTTGTGTGAAGAACAATGGCCAATAAATCATGCAGCAGCCAGATATCCAGAAGAACAATCAATAGAATATTAATTACATAGATTTTGAAAAAAATCATTCAATATATGTAGGCAATCTATTGATTGAGTAGTATATCCTGATACCAATTCCAAAACAAACAAAAATAACAAAAGAATTTGAACATGTATAAAAATGCATTTTCATAAGAAAAAACAACAAAATTCTACTAAATAAGTTTGCATGTTCTTTTTTTCCTTATAATCCCAAGCAAAAAATATTTGTATAATTTAACACTATCAGTCCGAATATAGATTGCACAATTCCTAAACCAAAGAGGGTTAGAAAGAGAGAGCTATTTTCTGTTTTAAATAAAAATAGCACTGAGCAATTAGGTTAGTAGTATGAATATTTAAAAATAAATTGTAATCCACTAATGCTGTGCTTGGGTAGATTCAAGCCAGCATTCAAACCATGGACTATTTTTTCAGTCCATTCCAATGTAATTTAATGCAATGGCATAATAGTTGGGTCAGAAATGCACACTTTCCCCCCTTTCTCAACAAGGGCCTCTAAAATGGAAGTTGTCTCACATTTAGTCAAAGCTATTGAAGATGGTTAGCTTATGGTGCTTTGTTTACAATTTCAAAATTTTGAATGACAAAAACAATTTTACATCCTTTAAAATAAAAATGTAACTTTTTATATATTATATATATATATATATATATATATATATATATATATATATATATATATATATATATATATATATATATATATATATGACCTATATAAATATATATACACACACACAAACGCCTACTACCTGACTTGTTGGACATAGCTGCAATCTAAGAAGCAAGGCGTTCGATCAAACATTGTTCAACTATTAAAAATGCTTCAATCAAACTGTCAATGCTTCAATCAAACTGTCAAAATATTTTATTACACAAGAGTTGAACCATTAATCTAGCATGGGGTATTAGTTTCTGCTAAATCCATCAGCTATTCCCTAATAGCTGGAAACTATGGATGCCTAACCATACTCTACCCCTCTGCACCGGAAGATACCCCTGGGTTGATTTAGTCATTGGTTGTAGTAGCCTACTAGGGTATAGCACTTTAAAAAAAATGAATTTAGGAGCCACAATGCTCGTGGGGAAACTGTGTAGCTTCATGTCAATCACATGACTGCTACTTAACTTTTGATTCAAGCAGTCACCCTGACCCACCAGTGCATGAACTTCAGGTGCTAATATAGGTGATGTAGTACAATGCATATAAAACTGATGTATTGTACTTTCATTTATCTATACGCCTCTAGATATATGCATACATAAATATTCACGTAGGCCAATATATAAATTATACTGGACTGTAATTGTATAAGTAACCTAGACCTATAGGCCCTATATTTAATTCTATAGCCTACCTAGGTTAGTAATTCACTTAGACCTATGGCCTAAGGGGCCATCCATAATTGCCATAAATGCTTTTAAAAATATTTACCTCTCCTCTCCCATCACACATCGATTAAAAATTGCCAGATTTCCCCCCCCCCCCTTCCACTAAAATGATGTCCCACCTCAGCCTACAATCCCCCTTAAAAAAAATTTTAACAATTTTTTTTAATCTAAAATTTTAAAATATTTACACATTCAGGTAGGAATATTAATACATTTTTAATACAATTTACTTAAACAAGTTATCTAAACAGCAAAATTAACACACCCCCCTCCCGACTATAGGCTTATAATTAATTAATTATAGTTATAGGCCTACTAAAAATACTATATATATATATATATATATATATATATATATATATATATATATATATATATATATATATATATATATATATATATATATATAGGCCTATATATATATATATATATATATATATATATTAATTCTAAAAGAGTTCTTATGTAAGCCATTATGTAAGCTAACTACTAACTAAAAATTAAGCTAAAAAAGGCCTGGGCAGGTAGTTATTTGTTATGGTCTTAACACCCAAAATTGTAAAATATATAGCTTTGGCTAAATTGTAAATAATAAATATACTAAAAATAACTTTGGGAACCAATGACATGATGAATCAGTCAATGAATTGGGAAATGTTCAATGAGTGGCCTCTAAATATTTACATAACATACATTTAGATCTAGAATCTAGATCCAATCTATTAATTTTGGTCCTATGTTAAAAATGTTTTATTTATTTCAATTTTCACTACCTGCATGTACATTAATATTCAAACGTTTACAGGTAAATTACACTACCAATGTGTTTGAGAATGGAAAGTGGTTTTAAACGACAAAGTAAGAAATCGCCAGCACCAGAGAATCAGGAAGTGTACAAGTCGCCAAAGGGACTGTCACAAAAATCTGATCGATACTGCGATGTAAAGTCAGTTGACACACCTGGTAAATAAAACATAATCGGGCGTGTTTGTTTAAGATTTTAATCGTGTCAAAATTTAAGAAACTACACATACTTAACGTAAGAACATTGTTAATTTAAATACGTCGAATCTTGTTGAAGCGCCTAGATTTTTGACCTAAACTTAGATCTTGATACGTTCCGGTGACACAGTATTTCAGGTAAACACAGCGACATCACAGCGCCCTCAAGCGGGCAGGTGAATTATAGCGTGGTTCTTTAGGCTAGTTCAAGGGGCAGGCAACATAGTCGTCGGTTTGTCCTGTGTTGTCTGCCCTGAAGACACGAAACAGCGGTTCTTAAGGACGCGAAAATGATTGGCGGATACCCCAAGAAGTATTTATAGTATAGGTCCAATACTTTAAGTTTCCATAATTAGTTGACACCTAGTTCTTACGCAATATAGGCTTAAAAATGAAGACAAAAATGATATGGTGTAGTTTCCAAGCTACACAATGTGTAATTATTAGTTTGTAATGTTTTTTTAGACAATAAATACTCTTCCTACCATGGAAATGGAATAGCTTGCAAACTGGCCGTCCTGGCCTATTCATCATTTGATCGCAGTTATATAAAATCCAAACAATAACATTAAGAAGAGGGGGGGGGGGGGGAGGGGGCGTGATCACCATAGTCGCGACTAACACCCCATCCCCATATTTTTTTATTTAAGTGCGTTGAACTGTGTTCACCACTTGATGGTATCATGCATTGAAATAAAAAAGCTTAAAAAATAAAACAATGGCCCTGATTCAATGAATAGATCTTGAGTTTTAAGTGTAATGCATATTATTATTAACTGTGTGGTCTGCTTGCAGTGAGTAAGCAGTTTATTTCCGACATTTTTCTCCGGGGGGGGGGGGGGGGGGGAAGGGAGATAACTCACTTTAAATTTCAAATTTCCGAGAGGAGGGACAATGGTTACGTTTTGTGTATAAAGTATAGATTTTTTTTTCTATTTCGTCCAGCCGGGCGAGGGGAAGATGCCTAAAAGGAAGAAACTCTGGGAGTAATATCAATAAGCATTAGGGTCATCCATAAATGACGTCACGCTTTTTTGACGCCTTTTACCCCCTCCACTCTGTCACACGTCGTCACAAAAAGCCAGACCCCCCCCCCCCCCAAAAAAAAAATTACGTCACACCTCAGCCTACAACCCCCTCAAATTTGCTGTTAAGGAGTCGTCCATAAATGACGTCACACTCGTCAAAAATCTTGTCAGAACCAGTGGCGGAACTAGAAAAAAAGGGCCACCCCGCAAAGAGATTTTTTGGGCCCCATATATATATATATATATATATATATATATATATATATATATATATATATATATATATATATATATATATATATATATATATATATATATATATATATGTGTGTGTGTGTGTGTGTATATATAAACAAAATACCAACATAGAATACTCTTTTCGGGCTTGTTCGAGTTTAAAAAAAAAATTAAAAATACTTAGTTTTTATTAAAAATTAAAATCAAGTTACAACAACACGTCATTTGTGTGTTATTCGTCTTTTCTTTCTTTTTTTTCTTTTGTATACTTTTATTTTCCAATTTAATATAAATACCAGTGGCGTAGGCAGGGGGGGTCATAACCCCCCCCATAGACCCCTCGGTATATAGAAAAAGTATGAGGGGGGGTGCAAATCGAAAGTTTGAGTAACATTCTTCGAAAATCTCAGTTATAATAAACGTTTACTAAAATGCTTCCTGATAGCCAATCGGTCAAAAGTATATGAAGCATGAAAACTTTGTACCAGTAATGGTTTCTCGCGTTATGTTTATTGTTATGTTTTTTTGTATTTATATTATTAATCTTTAATACATTTCCTTTTCATGCTTTGTCATTCTTTATTATGTATTTTAAAAAAAATAATAATTAAGAGAGGTAATTGCTTTTAAATTTGTTAAGAGCAAATCTATTAAAAGGTGCTTAAGAGCACACATATTTGACTATTTAAAAATGGGAAATAAGTCATGGAAGTGGTTTGAACGTTTGCCTATCTTTCACGCGATGGATTTATTTTCAAAATAATTTTGCCGTCAACAGCGTGTGTTTGATTGTAGGAGAAAGAGGACTCGGGATGGTGACTATAAAATAAAGATAATCAACAGCAGCTACGGTATTCTTTTTACAAAACAACCATCAAGTCAAAAATGAAAGAAAATAATTATTTTTTAACTGTAAAAAAATTGATTATGGTCGGCAATGGGCCCCTAAATGGCGTGGGCCCCCCCCCCCCCCCGCATTGCGGGGTCTGGCGGCACTGTAGTTCCGCCCCTGGTCAGAACTCTGTCAACATAGAGTATTTTGATCAATTCCTATATAACAATTTATTAAAACCGTTTTCTAAAACGCGAATAACGGCTAAAAACTCGTTTTCTAACATTGCTTTTTTATAATGCAAAAAAGTGACGTCACACCATCTGAACCCCCCCCCCCCCTCCTCATCACACACCGTCACAAAATTACGGACCCCCCCTCCCTTATACGAATGTGACGTCATTTATGGACAGAGTTTCTTCCAGGCATCTCTTCGGAGGGGCTTTGCCCCCCCCCCCCCCCCGAAAATTTTTTACCGCCCCCCCCCCCCCCCCCCGAACGAAATGAAATTTATTTATATAATTTATATAGAAAATATATATTTTTAACAGTGTCCGCCCCCTCCCCCCCCGAAGAAAGTCTACCGCCCCCCCCCCCGAAAATTTCAAGTGCCCCCCGGAGAAAAAAAGTCTGGAAGAAACACTGTTTATGGGCGACCCCATAACGTGGAGACAGCTGTGTTTCAAAGATGACCACTAGCCCAAATATTGTGAACAATTTGTTGCATAGGTGGGCTTTTCTTAGAGGGCGAGGACACATACAGTAGTTACGTGAAAATGGAAGCCACTGTGCTGGATTTAGGCACGGCTCTTGGAGAATATGACCACTGCTCTGAAAAGATGGGGACCACTGTCATAGAGTAACAATAATTAATTATTTCCTTTATCACAAGTGTGTCAACTTAACTCTCAACATGCTGATGTCATGATTTTTTTTTTTTTTTTGGCAAACTGTATATACGTTCCCAAAGCACTAAGTTTCACTGAATTATTGTGACCCCCCCCCTAAATTCAGATCATGGAATTAGGCCCATTGTTTAATTTGCAATTGCTAAAATAATAACACATTTAGGCTGCCATGAAATACAGGTGTGTGATATGGTGCATTCACTTCAACATTAATTTTTCTGTAATTGTTTTAAAAATCCTACATGGGGTAACAACATTTTTTTTTTAAAAACCTCTGCCCCCACCCTCTCCCTTCAACAAATAAACCTAGATCTTGTAGTTTCAGTTATCACAGACTAAAAGTACTTTACATTTAAAAAGGTCATTAGTTATAAAAATAAATAAATTGTTTTTTATGTCA